TGGTTGCGTCTTACTCACCCCTGCCACGTGGCTCCTCATCTGTCACTTGCGCCTCTGGCCGGCTAACATTTCTTGTTTTGTGAACGCTTTGCCCTCCTCAGCATCGTCATTTAATTTAATTTAGTGCCTTGTCGGTCAACCATGTCGTCCTTCGTTTCTTCTTTCAATCAAGTTTTAACAAAACATTCTGCGGTATTATTATATTATTAAATAATTTTGAGGAACTCAACATATTAAACGTACGCGTGGCTGAATTTGATGGAAGAAGGTGCCGAGTTAGAAAGCATAATGACAGAGTTGCCATGACTTCTAGTTTCGATTTCCAACCCCGAAAAGTCAGGGGTTTGAAGGGTGGGGTTGCGTGGTTAGGCCATCAAGAGGAAGTTTCCGGGAGAGGGACGTTGGTTGGTTCTTACTCTGTTTTCCTTTTCAACCCCCAAATGTGAAAAACATAAATGAAAGGAGAGGAGAAGAACCAAAAGAGGCAAGCCCCACCCACTTGCTTCCCAATCCAGCGTATCAAAACCATTCTCATCATCCATTTGGTCGTACTCTTGAGCTATTTGACCCGTCAGCGTGCAAGCTTTTTCTCCCTCTCGGTTAAATTTTCCTTTGACATTTGATATCCCAACGTTGGACGTTTGCGAGGGTCAGTTTGCTCCCCAGTTTTTGCTTCTAGAAGGCCGTCACGTTTTGACTCGTTGCGCTGTGCTGAATGATTCAGATCTTGGAATCCGCCATCAAAGCCTTCACCACACGGGGCTTTAATTAGCCTCACCTAATTAACACCTAACTCACTCACTCGTCACATTCTGCATCAACTAAACAACAAACTGTTACAGCGTCATCATCCCTGGCAACTCCCCTATTTTTTGATTCACGATTGAGACAGCGTTTGTCAACATTATAATATCTTACGGTTCTTTTCCTAATATATATAAAGAACACGCCTTCTTTAATTTAATACTCCCTCCGTTCCTTATTATAAGAGACAAATAACCAAATCACGTTAATCAAAAAAATAGTTAAAATTAGTTGGGGACAATTAATGTGTAAAAAGTATAATTTTTTTTTAACAATGCCCCCATTAATAAAGAGAGAGAGTATGAGAGAGAATTATTAAATTATTAAAAGAAAAAGAAGTGGGAGGAGGAGAGAGTATGAGTTGGAGACAAAATAAATAGGGATAAAATAGGAAATCAATACAAAAAAATAGAGACAACTTTTAAATGTCTTTTATATATAGGAACATACTATAAGGATCAAATGTCTCTTATAATAAGGAACGGAGGGAGTATATAATTATCATGACAAAGCAAATGGTTGGGTTGGATCATGTTTAACACGGAACTGAGTTTTCTAGGAAATATTACATGTTATCTCGTTTAACAAAATGAAGTCCATTGTAAAATTCTCTCATTCAACGCTAAAAGGAGGCATCTATGAATTGTGTGTCAATGAATTAAAAAGTTCTGGGGGTCTTCAAGGGTCGAACTCAAGAAACTGTTCTGGCTCCATCATCCCAAGCATGGTTCAATACAAGCAAAAGGGTCCATAGTGATAGTTCAGCCGTGAGAGGATTTGCAGATCCAAGATTACGCATGAAACCCCACACAAATCTGCCTTCATTATCTCTAATGACCCCACCGCATATCCTACAATGTAATTAAACAAAGAAGGAATTGAACTCGTAACAACCCCCCAACAAAGAAAAAGAAAAAAGATGGAATGAATTGAACTCCATCTACATTTAGATTCACCCAACCCAAATTCTGGTTGCAAACCATTAATATATTGTAGTCATTATGCTCTTTTCGCAAGTCGTTTCCGTGCTTTGAAGTGCCACTCTTGTCTGCAAGGGTATTATTCAGACTTCTCGATCTTACCCTCATAAACTCTTTCATTTCTTCTTCCCCGCATTAGCTAGCATATGACACACACACACACACACACACACACACATATTAAAGAAACTCAATTTTCCAATTTTCATCTGAGTAAGACATACAATGGTGAACAACTTCAAACGTATTATAGCTTGGAAACTCCTTTCATAAGCCTTCTCTAAATCATTCATAGCAGCCATGGATCATTTCTTCAGAAACGATAACATTTTGTATCTTGTGCCTTCCCGGGACAAACTGCATGGATACGATCAGCTTACGCAGATCCTGTGCCATGGATCATCTTACGCTGAAATGTCTTCATTCTATTCGCATTTATCTTCATAACGGCCTTATATATGTCATTGAGTATACAAGTAGACTCGTACGTCTGAAATCCTCGGGAGATTCAGGGTGTTTTTTCTTGGAAATAAGGACAATCTCAGTGTTCTCGATCTCTCTGATCCTCCATGGCGACTTTGAAAATGCACTTTAAGAATTCCACAACAGAACAACCAATATAAGTCCATCAGGACCAGGATATTTCAATGCTCCCGTTCCAAAAGTGGCTTCCTCGATCTCGACGTCCTCCAAATAGTGACCGGCTGATATTAACCTTCTGTGCCCAAATCAGATCATCTTGTAGTGTAGTTTCTTCCCGTCTCTCCCCAAAACTTTCTTTGCAAGTCTTCTAGATTACCAGAATTCTTTTCGATTTGCCAGTGCTATTGATCCCATCAAGCCTCTGATTAAGCTTCTCTTCCTTCTGTCAGCTCTTTGTTCCACTATTTAATGCCGCTTCAATGAACGTAGCCACAGTAGCTACATGACCCCTCGGTGGACCCATTCCATATTTTCTTCACAAACTCTTCAAAATTAACCCGCAACAAATCGAAACAGACGTACCACCTTCCCACCTGCCTTTTGATCTAAAGCAAGCTGAACTGGCAGTGATCACAGCATTTGATTTGGCTTTACTTTTGTTTTGATTAAAAACCAATGCTAGAGGCACTTTATGTATTAAAAACCAAAAATAACTTAAGAAAAAATATTTATATGTATAACGACCTTTAATTCTGCGATTCTCATTCTTTTCCAGCGTCTGCTGAGTCACTGATAAGAATTGACTTGAGAAAGGCAAAACTGGCATACAACGAAGACTATTGCATGTATTTATACAGTATAAGCATCTCGCAATATATTACGAAATAACGGAAACATGCTCTGTATCAATTATATGTCTTCAACATATAATCCTCAAAAAGTTGATCAGTTTTCGCTGCTTAATGAATTGTTGGCTTTGGAAGACCTGATTTCCCGTTTGTGAGAACCACATTGGAGAGGCTAAATTAATCACGAGATAAATGGTGAAACAAGTTTCACCTAATGAAGAAACGCCAGGTCACGAACCATTGGGTCTCCTGTTCGGCCTGGGGGCGAGCCTGAGTAACAAGGTGAGCATCCACTACATGCTGCTTCCTTCCCATCTAAGTTCTGCAATCATAAACATACCCATTAATTAACCAGAAACCATTGAGAATGAAGTTATCTTTTCCATTGTCTTCTTCAATGTAAGTTTTTGTTTAACCACTAATCTGAACTCTTGTAGAGCCCACACCTTTCTGGGAATCATAGGAAGAACTCCACTTCTGACTGTGGCAGGCAAAAAGAATGACAAATCAGAAGCTGCATAAAAGGCAATGTTGATGATTATACTCACCTGATCCAACTTTGTTTCTTTCTGAACTGGAATGTACAAAGTCGCTCTTTACTGTATGTTTAGGCATATTTATATCATTGCCTTTCTTCTTAATATCGACGTCACAAGTGGAAGGAGCAAGTGATCTTGTGACTTTCAGTTCAATTTATTTTCATCTTTCATTGCAATGGTTCTAGTGAGGAGTAGTGGATATATTGAAAGATCGGCACATGTTTAAAAGGGAATTCCATGAGAGACAAGATTGATGATCAACAGGGCCATAGGACATTGGATTTTCTGCCATGTATAAGCAGGAAAGAGAGCTTTTGCGTGAGCGAGGGTGAATTTGGGAATGGTATTTAACCAGATGGCGTTGTTGATCTCCTTCATTTCTCTTGCGCCTTTAATTCATCCTGGCCCCTGTGAATTCCTACGTTTCATCATCCTTGAAACCTTTCTTTCACTTATACCAGTATTAAAAGGGTTTCGTTTTTCTATTTCCTTATGTTTTAATCATAAGCCTGTGGTTTTGATATATGAATGATTCATAGTCCTGTGCTTTAAAGGTTTTGGGACACTGGAAAACTCGATTACGAGCAAGCGCACAAGTTCGATGTCTTTCTTTCATACAACTTGCAGTTGATCCCACAACCTCGTTTTGCATTCTGTTTCGTTCTCTAATCCTTCTTTAAGGTGTAGAGAACTGATTGGATTAAGATAAAACAGAGCAATTAGTATTTAAACTCTATTTCTTTTGCTGCCTCTATGGTTGTTCCATGCCTTTTTATTTAAAAAGAGAAATTGCTGTTGATGTGCGCGCGCTCTCAGTGCGTACAACTTCTTATTTATAAGATGATAATAAAGCTGTTGACTTTTAGTTTGAAATTTATTTCTTTTTAAATTTGAGATGGCATAACATATTTTTAAAACCCATTGGCAGACTCGGCGCACAAATCCGTTTGAGTTAAACCTCCTCAATTCAAGTCATATGCACGTTCAGACGCACGGTAACACTTCAAAACTTGCACCAGTTTTGAACTTAAGTACTTGTTTAGATTGGCTTATTTAAGTGCTTACACTAAGCTTAACTGTGCCTACTACCAACTTGGCTTGAGAGTAATATTGGACTAGACAGAGCAGAATTAAAGGGCTCAATTTAACAAGAAGCCTAGAGGCTAACACAAATATTGAATGGTCCAATTCTTAATTCCTAAATATTAAGATTCAACAAACTGACCAAGCAAACGATTTCTTGAGAATTCAAGGATACAGCAAGGAGGATCCATTTGCCACCCAAATTGCAGCAGGAAATGCTACTCGGACAGTTGCAGCAGATCGAAATCTAAAAGTCCCATACAAGGATCCACTATCAGAAGATATGCAGCATGAAGAGCTTCTTCTTCTTCTTCTTCTTCTTCTTTTTTTTTTTTGCGCCGGGAAGGGGAGGTGGGGGAATTGACTGTCATGAACATGTTTACAATAAAATATGAAAAGGAGCTATTTCCATTTTTTTTTTTGGCGGGGGGGGCTCACCCTTGAAACCTCCACTCCCAAACCCCCTTGAAATATAAAAGGGAAAAAACTAAGCTCTGCACAAGTGGAATAGACCTATTAAAGCTTGAGTTACCCATGGTAGCAATCCCAATCAAATCTTGGTTGCGAAAACACTTCATAATCAACGGGCCCCTCCACGATGTTGTCAATTGTTTGAATGGACTCCAAGAGAGTTGGGGGAAAACTTTCATTACCAGAAGGCAATATTTTATACAAGACTAAAAGTCCAAGTGTGAATATGGCTTGCAGCTTGGTAGAGTCACCTTGGACAGAAAAGAATAGAAGCATCGCTAGTAGGAATAAGTCAACGCAGAAACGCATGATGCACAGGACAGTATCCATTAACCTTCCATCGTTGCCAGCAGGAAAACCACGAACTCGATATACGAACAAGAAGTTGTACTTGTCAACCACATATCTATACCCAAAATAAATTGCACCAACAGGGACCACAATTGGAGCAAAAGAACAGTATATCAGAGTAAGTGCAAATATTGTCAAATTAAATGCATAGTACTGTGCAAAATCAAATTGCTGCTTCGGTGCAGGTGAGCTTCCAGTCATTGGATAGACAAGAAGATCTTGTCCCTCCAGATTATCCCCATTCAGTGTGGGGGTGTCATAAGTAGTTTGTGACATCAGAGGTCTCTGAAGATTATCAATTTCCTGATGCTCTAATGGGTATTCTTCACTTTGATCAGGAACTAACTGAAGCATGTCATTCTTCTGGAAGGTTTTAATTTTCCTTTTGATCCAAGGGATAGGAGCCAAAAGATCAAAAGATATACCCAAGAAAGTGCTTGTGATCAGAAATGCAAGAGACGAAAGGCATGACCTTGACAGAAATGATGCACTCATATATTGCTCAATCCTCTTGCAATCTTCTCCATCCAAATAGCACCGACCCATCTTTAGGATCGTACTCTCCAAGGATGATTCTACGAGACCCCTCAAGAGAATAAGATTAACAAGGAAGAAGCAAACCATCTTCACAAGTGAAGCTCTTTGTTCCCCAGATACAGTAAGATGGCGTTCAAATTTGGAGAAATAAGAAAGAAACGATGGGATTACTATATACATGCTTACAAATATGATGACATTGGGCAGGAATTGAAAAACAATGCTTGCAAGCCAGCTAGAGCTTTGTACCCAAGCCAACCACAGTTGAGCATTATTCATAGCTTCAGCGTTGATGATCCTCCCAGCACTCTTAACAGCACTGATCACAGCAAGGGGAGAACTGAAAAATAAGAGCATCAATAATAAGCAAGTATTCACAAATACTCTCCGCAGTTTCAGTGAGAGCTTCGATGTTCCCATGTTATTCCAGTAAATGTCAGTTGCCAATGGAGCGCGCTCAACTTTCCACTGGTTCCTTTGAAGACGTAATTCAATGAGAGAAAAGAACTTCCCAATTCGCCTCCTCTTTTCATTTTGAAAATCCTGGACTGCTTTATTAGCAGTATACACATCCTTAAACATAACAAAGGCAACTCCAGCACTGCGTGCATGTCCTTCTTTATAGGCAGCTAATTCAGTCTCCAATTCAGCCCTTAATTCTTGCAATTTTCTTAACCTCTCTTCATCAGTGTAGCCAAATCTAGCAAGAATGCCCGAAAATATGTCCCGTAACCGTTTCCAAGAGTAAACCACCCAACTCCCTAAACCCCAAGAAGTACCCTGAGCATTTCCATCAACTTCAATATCATCTGGCAAAAGGCGAGAGTCCATTCTTGCCACCAACCATGAAATTTCATCCCTTACTCTCAACAGCTCGGCTGCCAAATCATCCAAAGCACGCAAATCCATAGGCACAATTAGCTTATAAACCTTCCCTGGATACCTATATTGAAAGTACTCCCGCAATGCAACTCTATCATCTCCTAAATTTTTTGGTAGACCCTGCACCATTACAGTGAATATGGCAGTGGAATTCGCAGTAGGGTCACTTGGATTACCATATCCATCCCTAAATCTAGTAATCCTTAACCTCTCTTCGATAGAGGAAATACCAAAATGAACCAAAACAACAACCACCACCGCAAAAAGAAAATGTACCCAAAGTAGAACCGAACCTTTCTCGATGTGATTAATAGTAGTCTTCGAGAATTGGTCATCCAACACAGCAGTCCCGGCATAAATATTAAGCGGAAGAATTAGCAGTACAGCCAAGCCCGCAATGGACAAAAGAACTGCGCAACTCCCACCTTCGATCAAAAGAAACTGGGCAGCATCAGCCCCGCAATGGCGAGCAATTTCACGACCTGTAGCGTGCCAAACGGCAAGAAGCTTGTTGACAAGAGCAGCAGGTCCCGGCATTCGGTGGTGGTCACTGCGTAGCTTCACAAAGATGAAAATCAGTAGGCAGCAGAAAGCCCCAATCGCCGATATGTTCAGTAAGTACTGTATGTTGCCGTACCACGCGCCATCCAGGTCCCCATCGTCGCCAGAGGATGGCGGCAGAGGCAGGGGCCCCTCCATACAGAATACCGATGGAATGACAGCGAACGGCAGAGACAGGACGATGCACTTGAAAAAAAACTAGGGTTTATACTAGCAAAATCTAAACTTCAAGAATATAAGGCGAATTGACTCCAGTCCAAATTGAATTCTGTTCTTAGAGCACACGATTTCGGCTTTTGCAGGAACAATCGTAAAGTTATGGCTTCTTCAACGATGAGAATTCGTCGAGGAGAGACGAGGCAGGGGAAGACGACTGAGGACATAGATGGAATTCTCGCAGACGACCCAGGTCATAGAAGGAATCTAGAAATTACTTTCAGGATGAGAATTTACCCCCACAGGCTTGATCCCCGTTTCCCCCTACAATTAACCCCCCCCAAAAAAAACGCCTTTTCCCAACATTAATTCTTTTTATTTGGCAAAAAAAATATTTTCTTAAACTACTACCTCCGGTCCTAATTATAAGAGTCAGTTGACTAATTTGAGGAGATTAAAGAAGCAATTTGAGTTAGTTATTTGTCCTAAATAGGTGTTGTCTTTCCCAAAATATCATTACTAATCAAGTGTATTAACTAGAACTATCATCATTAGAAGGACTACCTTGGAAAAAAATACATAAATATGAGAGACAAAATAGATTGGGGTCTTATATTTAGGAACAAAATAAAAGTCAAATAAGGTTTTATATTAAGGACCGGAGGTAGTACTAGTTATTTTGAACAATTTTAAAGAAAAATTTAGACAATAACCTTTTAAAAATTTAATTAAGGATCATCAATTTTTATTGGAAATTTCATCTTTAATATTTTAAGTAATTTTTTTTTATATTTTTAATATTTTCAATATTATCTCTCAAATTTTCTGCACTTCCCTTTAATTATTTTCAATAAAAATATTAAAAATAATTATTGGAAATTTGTCTGGCCATTAAGTATTGAAAATATCTAAACTAAATGCTGAAGGCATCAATATTCTAAAAATATTAAAGATGAGCATTAAAATGAAAAGGCATGAGTATTAAAAAAAAAAAAGTAAACCAATAACGCTAATAAACACGGGAGATTTAATTTCAACTGATAATTTTACTTTTTAAACTAATTTTCAAATTTTAGGATCTTTAATTATAATTAGTGTTTTAAAGAATTTTTAAATGTGATTTGCAAGGTTGCCAAACTCGTAAATTTAAACAAAATCGTGATAATGATGTAAACTCGAATCGTAAACTTGAATCGTAAACTCGTAAGAGTTTACTTTTATTAATAAACTGGTATTAAAAATATATAATCAAATAATTAATATATAAAAAATAAAAACAATTTCATTTAAATATATGTTAAATTTAAATAATTAGAATTATATCAATTAATGTTCATAATTTATCATATTTAACAAAAAAATTTCTATAAAATTCATATATAAAGTCACTAAATATAATCAAATTTGAAAATTTAGCACGAGTTTAAGAGCGAGTTAATACAATTTTGTAAGCTAAAAACGTGAAAACGGTAAACTCGGTAAATAAACTTGTAAGTTTAACCGAATTTATAATTATTATGAGTTTAAAAACGAGTCGACACGATTTTATCAGTTGAAAATGTAAAAACGTTAAACTCGGAGAATCAACTCGCGAGTTTGACAATAGTGGTAGTTTCTCTTTCTTGTGATATACTACCTCTAATTCTAATTATAGATTTTTATTATATATTACAAATAAAATCTTATAATTAGAATCTTTACTGATAATCATGACTCGGTAGGCGCGTGGTACTTGGCAGCTGCGCATCCGGCCCCGTGACACTGAGCACAATATTTGACAACCCCAATATTCTATACTTCTACTATAGCATGCAAGAAACAGTAACATATTAACCAAGAGGATGGGGTGAAAAGGTTTAATCACATAGAATTATTGCTTTAATGTATTTTTTACTGACTGAAAACATTTAATTAGTCTACATTCTTGGCAGTGCTCAAATCTAAATACTCACATGAAAAAAAAAATTCAGCTAATTTTAATCGAATTAACCATTAAAATAAACAGTCACATTAACAAAAATTATACTCGCACGCACATAGTTAGGCACCACTCACAATAGCTTTTTTTTTTTTTAATTGCCGAACGCGTGAACCGCTATTTCCCATTAAAAAAGATAATTAATCTAGTGAATAATTTACACTTGCAATTGTTTTATAATCGTATTTTTTTTTTACCTTGATTGTTTTATAATCGTGAATAGCTAGCAAAGAATAGCATTTATAACGTGACACCTGTATGGATGATTTGGGTACGTTACTATTAAAAGATTTGACTGATATGATTATGGGTGTTCGTAAGTATGGTGTAAACTGTAGAGAATGCAAATCTTGCCATTAGCGAATCGGTAGGCAGCTTTTAACTAATTGGCACGTTCCAATTTCATTTGACGGCTTATCGTGGTTTTATGTATATGTAAGTAGAAGTAGCCGCTTCAGGAAAAAGGTAGAAGTAGCCGCAGCCTGCATGCACTGGGAACACATGCCTGTCCATCAAACCAATAAATAATAAATTAGCCCGCTCTTGGTGTTGGGACAGCAATACGCAATAGACAGAACAACAGATCAGATCAGATCAAAACCCAATTTGAAGGCTGATTTTGTTTTTAAAGGTTTGTACCCATTGTGAGTGAGTTCAACAGCATGAACTACACTCCCTTACTAAAAAAGAAAAAGGGTTTGATTTCCCATTACAGCATTTGGGGAGGTATCATGGTGTTTATGAAGGTTTGCTCTGCTCAACACTGACATCACTTAAAAAGAGTTATTTAAGTGTCCTGCTTTTAATTTGGATTGAGCTTGAACCCTTATCTAAAATTTTTGTAGCCAAAAAAAAAAAATTGGGTTTTTAAGTTTGTAATTGAGTCTAGTTCAGCAGTAACTGGAGATCACATTGAGTTGATCCAAGTAGTTAGGGGCTTTAATTTTCTTTTTTTTGAGATTTTTTTAGGAGAACTAAGATTTCAAGCCGAGAAATGTAATTAGAACAATAAAAAATAGGAGTACATTCCATGCTCACCAAAATGATGAGCATGGGGTGCTCATCTTAATTTATACCATTTAGATTAATTTTAGATAGTCTATATCGAACTTAAATAATTTATATATCTTAATTAATGTTGATTTTAATGGATGCAAAAATTAAAATAAAGATAATCTTATAACTAACACTTCCTTTGAAAAAAATTTAAATCTTGAACCTTTCGTAATAGATTTTTAATGGTTTAGATTACATTACACCAATAAACACACAGTGCTCAATGAGAAGCCATAAAAAATAGGTATAATCACATAAAAATCATCCCAAAACATTAAAACTTAATTACAAATCCGCAAGAATCCTCCAACAATATTAAATAATAATACAAAACAACATTCAAAATTACAATTTTTTCTTTTAAAAATCACTTGGACCAGGCTAGTCCAAGTGGTCTGACCACTTGGTCTAGAATCTAATCTGACTTGACCAACTAGTCTAATTCAGTCTAGTCTGATTTTAACATATTATTTATTTGCATTAGACTGAATAATCTTGAGTTGGAATGTTGAATCAAACCATTAGATTTTTACACATCCCTTATTTGGGGATTGTTTCTCCAATTTAATTTTGTTTTATCATTGACCACCAAATGATTATTGCTCTCGTTAATACAATAAATTGGAGGACTGCACTTGGCCCCAAGTATAAGATTTCAGCCTATATTATCTATTATATTTATTATTTTTAGATTAACTTATCTAATCTATAAATTAATATATAATCTAATGTTATGTATATGATTATTTAGGGAGATCATATCATATGTGCTATAGTTAATTAATTATTCTAATCTATAAATTAATAGACAATCTAATGTTATATAGATATGATTATTTAGGGAGATCATATCATATTTACTATAATTAATTAATTTTTTAATTAATTTAAATTAGTTAACTAATTCCAGTATTAAAAATCAAAAGAGGTAATACTTATCAAACAATATGTTTATTAGCAGAGTGAATTATCTGCATGGAGTTCTGAGAAGGCCCCGTGCAAGGCAACAGTGATCTGTTAAACGTTAGGCAACGATCAGCAAAATCATAAACATTACTACTCCTCTGATCCTTAATATAGGATTCAATTAGTGAGTTGGTTTTGATCTTAAATATAAGACCCATTTCTCATATTTATCAATTATCTCTAAATTACCCCTATGGATACTCTTTCAACCATAATCAAATAGAAGAGAAAGATAGGGTATTAAGAAATATAATTATGGTATTTTAGGAAAAATGTGTCATATTTCTTGTAATTAACTAACTTACCTAATTTCCTTAATTTAATCAAATTAGTTAAATGGATCTTATATTAAGGACCGGAGGAGTATTATTTTTTTAATATCTGAGCAGTGGATTCTTTTGTTTGTCATGTAAGTTTTGCTATCGGAACTTAACTAGTACTCTTCCGGTCTTAAATATAATATTCTTATACACATTAGTATAAGTGTTTTACATTTAAAACTAGAGGAGTATTTTAACTTAGTTTAGCCTCATTCTCCTAATTTTCATGGATTTGAGCAGATCCACTCATCTCACTTGTTTCAAGTAACTCTAGCTATGCGTTATGGACATTTTATCTGTAATTGGTTTCCGGAAAAAAAAAAAAAAAACACAAAGCGGACCAGGAAGTGGCCAAGAGGTGAACGAAGGAGTGACCAATAATATATTTTATGCATGAAACATGACGTAAATTCAGTCTGTGACATATTAAAAGTGTATTTTCTTAAAATTTTGTACTGATATATAAATACATAGATTTGGTGGTGCTCTCAGAGTTGCAATTTTCCCCGCTTAGATAAATTGGGAAAAAATTTCATTAATAATTTTATTGGTGAGCATAAGTTATTAATTTATCAGATCATTTTCACAATAAAATTTTTAGAGGGGACTTTTTCCTAATTTTTCCTATTTATTGTGAAATTCATATTTTAATGTTATATTGATTTTAATGATATTAATAATATAACTAATCTATCAATGCACATCAATACACACACATTACTGCATGTATCTTTATATAATAAAATCTCCAATAACTCTTAGTTTTGGTGGGGAAAATTTTCAAAATGAAATGCATACCAGATGCACATAAAAAAAAATCTTTTTTTGGCCAACAATAAAAAAAAGATCATACAAGCCGAACGAGTAATATAAATTACTTTTCATGTTATGTGCAATACATATAATTCATATAAGTTATTATACATCTAATGCTAATAATACTATATATGAAAAATTGGGATGAATTCCTTATCGAGAAATTAACTGGTAAATAATCTTTGAGAGTTTTGTACAACTCATTTTCCTTCTTGCGCAGTCCATCTTTCCTTGTGTGTAATTTTTTTTTTAATGTGACTAAATTTTTCCTGTGTACAATCTATCTTTTACTATGTGTAATTCATCTTTTCTGTGTTCAAGTTAGTCCTAATGCTTTATGCAAATTATTTTTTTTATGCAACTTAATTTTTGTTATATGTAACTCGTTTTTTTATACTCCTTCGATCTTTAATTTAGGACTTATCTAAAAAGTTGGTGTTAGTCTTCTATGCAAAATCTATTTCATTTATTTTATTTTTTTTCAAATTAATCATATTGGTATTCCTTTAACAATAAGTAAGTAGAAGGAGAAGAAAAAGTTAAAGTGTTTTAGAAAAAACATATCACGTTAAACTAATTTAACTAATATATTTAATCTACTCAAATTAATTAATTAAGTTTTGGATAGAACAAGTATAATTTATTATTCCAAGGACAATTTAATAATTGATTCTAATTTTTCTTATTATATATGTGTGTAAAATCCTATTACTTGTGAATGATCAACTTAACAATGTGACTTAAGCTAATCTTTTTGTGAAGAAGGAACCATATTCGGGTTGAAATTGATGCCGAGTGTTGATTTCATGGACAAGCCAGTAAAAATTAGTACAACTCAAAAATAAAATTAAAATTTAACTTGCCTGAATAAAAATCCATGATCACCGTGCCACTTTTCGCTGCGTTTCTGAAGCAGTTTAAGTTGCTATTTCCTTGGTTACAGGGGTGGGGCCTATGGTGGCCAAAATGCATTGCTGGCTTTCGGCCATCGCTTTATAGGAAGGGCCTTGTCTGCTGAGAAAGACCCCAGAGATAAAGGAGAAGAGTTTCAGTTCTATCACCCTGATTGACAGCTCTTTGCTCAGTCATCCCTATCTCTCTTCGTCTTCTACCTTCCATGCTACCCACATCATAACGCGAACAATATCGGTTACAGAAAAGAGGAGTGGGATAAAAGTGGGGAAGCGGCCAATATACAACCCTTTCGCCCCTGCAGATTGATTTGATGGATCTATAGATCTAACCCTTTTCCATCCACATGTATTGTTCTGTTTCGTTTAGATCCCCATCGCTTTCAACTGAATGTTTCTGCAGCTGACCAGAACTGATCGAATACCCTAATTGTATTGTCATTTGTAGGTTATGTTTCTGTTTTATTTTTTCCAATTTGTTTTTCCACCCTGTGTGGCAAGTTATTGAATTCACATATTCCGGTGAATTATAGGTATTTACACTTTACTGGGGGCATTACTAAATTTGCCATCTGGGTGCCCTTTAGACCGGCCAATCGCCTTGCTCTGTTGTTTTAGCTATCTTTAAGCTAGTATAAGGCTCGTGATTCTGAGGTTTAGAACTGAAGAACGAGCTTTAAACACCGGCCCTCACTTCCTTTTATCAGTGAATCTACGACGGATGAAACTTGAAGCCAGATTTCTCGTTTGTTTATGTTATTTGGGTTATTAGTTTATGCTTACTCAAATTCTCCCTTGTTTTCCAGATAGTGGCTTTGTGAGTCTGCAGGGGAGGAGGCCCCTGGTGCTTTATACTGTAGCGGTATTGCATCCGTTTTGGATGTGAAGGATTCTGGGGCGGTCTTGGGTGAAATGAGGGATGTTATCAAAGATGAAGGACTTTCTGAGCGCCTGTTGGCGACCATCCTCGGACCAATATGTCCACAAAGGTTCAGATGTGTCTGGTCGGCAGGAGGGATTACTTTGGTACAAAGACGCTGGCCAGCACTTAGCTGGTGAATTTTCGATGGCTGTTGTACAAGCCAACAATTTGCTTGAGGATCAGAGCCAAATAGAGACTGGTCCCCTTAGCTTGCTTGAGACTGGCCCCCATGGGACCTTTATTGGAGTATATGACGGTCACGGTGGACCTGAGACATCACGTTACATTTGTGATAATCTCTTCCAACACCTGAAACGTATGCGATAAAACTCTGATGCTCTTATGGAACTGAATTTTCGTTCCCGTCTAATTATACGATTGATGCGTGCATATTCAGGTTTCACTTCTGAGCAGCAGTCCATGTCAGTGGATGTAATACAAAAAGCATACCAAGCAACGGAAGAGGGTTTTGTATCCCTTGTTAGCAAGCGTTGGCCTATAAATCCCCAAATTGCTGTTGTGGGATCATGCTGTTTGGTTGGTGTAATTTGTAGTGGTACCCTCTACATTGCTAACCTGGGCGATTCCCGTGCTGTGCTTGGGAGGGCTGTCAGAGCGACTGGAGAGGTTCTGGCAATCCAACTATCTTCAGAGCATAACGTGAGCATTGAATCTGTGAGACAAGAGATGCATTCTTTGCATCCAGATGACTCGCAAATCGTGGTTTTAAAGCACAACGTATGGCGCGTGAAGGGTCTGATACAGGTAAGTTCTATGTGTGAATCTTGATGATTGATATTTTATATTAACAAGGAAAGGGAATTCTCAATTTTCCCCCAATCTATTCCATCTTTTTGTCTAGTCGCTATTGTCCAATTTAGTTTGTATATGATATATCCTCCCTCTCATGTAATCTTATGTGATTTTGATGGCTTTTCATCTGATCCCAGTTGTTCATGTTATCTATAGATTGGCATGTTTGGTTCACAATTGTGCATTTATTTAGGTCTCATCATGGGCAGTGATTGTTGACTCGAGTTTTTATTTCTCTCGTAAGAATGGGAAATTTTGAGGGCATTTGTCATTAGGTTGGCAAATATATTTATAATATGTGGTTTTTAACTGTGTTATGAGATTTGGAAGTGACTTTGGTATGCTCAAGATTTACACAGAGTATCTCTTGTATCATCTTTATCATATACTACGTTTTCTTTTATGTTTTTCTTTTGTTGACGAGAGTGGAGGCAGAAGCAGTGCCTGTCGTATAATTATAGCTGTGTATGTCGTCGAAGCCAACTTCTGATAGTTTAGATGCTAGTACATGATATACTTCTGTACGTGTCAACCTTTTTCCTGTCCACTCAAAGTAGGCTGTTTACTTTGAACCTCCTGGATCATCTACAACTGCCAAAGATTTTTTGCCACTGCACTTAACTTTATCCTTCTGATTGTGGATGACATGATGTGAACACTGGAAGCTACCCTTTTTAAGATTTGGGGGAACTTAATTGAATGCATTATTCATGCAAAATATTAAATGGATAATTCTTGGGACTGAAAATTAGGAGTCACTTATCTAAGATCTAACTTCCAATAAAAAATCATGGTCTTGGAGCGGGTATAAGTAAAAAATTGGCAGGTCAACATATGGGAACATCTTTCGCCCTTAAGAATATAGTGAAGCTATGGACTGGCAGAGTTGCTGGATGCTTGCTGATCGGACCCATTTTTGTGGCATGAGGCATCCAGTTTTTCCCATCTGCAGCTTCTAGAAAGATGTCAATTGAATGAATATCTTTAGAATCAATGTTCAACTTTTGAATCTCTGGATTGAAATGGGCGTTATGAGATCATTGACACTTTTTCTGGATCAGAAGGAATAATGTGGTATAAGGTATTATGGCTGGCTTAGCCTAAGCAATATTTGAAATGGTGTAAGTGAATATCAGCTAGAATATAGTTGGAGATCAGCGAAAATTAGAGATATTGTTCCAGGGAATATTTGGGTTAAGATATTGTAAATTCGGGATTTTTATTGGTCAAGGGAGTAACTCGGGTCTTCACTTAGTACAAAATTTGGAATTCTAAGGAAATGAGGAATTCAAGGCAAAATTGATTGATGTCCTATTAAAGATTCTATTTGATGGGAAAGATTTGGAGATGTAGTCATTTGTGTCAAATTGGGGATCCAATTTATTAGAGGAGGGATTTCCATTTTCAATGTCTAGGAAATTAGGGATGTCATTGGGAACACAGGAATTCAGGTACAAAAATAAGAATTCCACTTTGAGGGAAAATTTAGGGTATGTTGTGTTGTGGGCATCCGGTTTGGTATTCCAATTGGCTCAAGGAAAGGATTTCAATTTTCATTGCATAGAAAATTCAGGATTTAGCGAGGAAATCACCTATTTAGGGCAAATTCTAAAGGATTTTGTCAAAGAATTAATGACTTGATACAGTAGGATACCAATGTACTAATAACTTAAAACTTTTGACCACTTTATTGTTAACATTTAATTCTTAAGGCACCAAAGTGGAACTGAGCCAAATCTATGGTGCCAAATTAAATTTTATTTTACCTTGAAACATAATGATAGGAGCCTTTGTATGCTAAGTTTTGTCTTAATGGTATGGCTTTCCTCCCCTTTCTTGATCATGAAAATCTTGTATTTCAGGTTTCTCGATCAATTGGTGATGTATATCTCAAAAGGGCAGAATTTAACAAGGAACCTTTGTATGCTAAGTTTCGTCTTCGTGAACCTTTTAGCAGACCAATTTTGAGCTCTGAGCCATCTATTTCTGTCCATGAACTTCAACAGCATGATCAGTTCCTCATATTCGCTTCTGATGGTTTGTGGGAACACCTTAGCAATCAGGATGCTGTTAACATAGTTCAAAATCACCCTCGCAGTGTAAGATATTAATCTAATAAACTGAATGGTTGTCTCCATTTTGTTTAGTGTTTAATAGTTAACACGGATTTGTCAAATTCTGGAGAATGATATCATATTTAGAACCATTTAACTTTTTTGTAACTTGTCTACTCTCCCATTCCTTTTGAAGTTGTTTCATTAATAATTTATTTATGATTTATTTATGCATTCTGTTCAGATTTGAAACCAGAGTCTTGCATATTTTTTTGAAAAAATTCCATCATGTCATGCTGATGAGTTTTCCTCATAAAAGTTCTACAGAATACATATTTATAGCCTTGGAAAGTAAGCTGAACAAAAGCTAGACTTAGAATGAAATGTCTTGAATGTTCAATTTCCATTAACATTAATAATCTAAGTGGAATTAAACACTATAAAGTAGAGACATAGCATCAGACAGTGAGGTGAGATAATGTCTTGCACACTTTATTTTTTTAAGCAGGGAAGTGCTCGGAGACTGGTCAAAGCTGCCTTGCATGAAGCAGCCAAAAAAAGAGAGATGAGATACTCAGATTTGAAGAAAATTGACCGTGGTGTCCGCCGCCATTTCCATGATGACATTACAGTAGTAGTTGTATTCCTCGACTCCAATCTTGTGAGCAGAGATGGGCCGGTGAGAGGTCCTTCTTTATCAGTGAGGGGTGGAGGTGTTAACCTACGCGCTAAAACACTGGCTCCCTGCGCAACTCCTTTGGAAACTTAGTTCTGGCTGATTAAACCAGCCCTATGCACTGTTGATACTTTTGTATTTAGTGTTGTACTCTTAACACAGACTGAGCTTTGGGGATCTGTCATCTTGTATATCAAATCCAAAAGATAATTTTTTAATCAATTCAATAGATATCAAGAACATCAGTTTTTTCTTCCCTTTCTGTTTTGGATTGTGCTATATAACCAGCAACTTGGTGTATCTCACTAGCGTGAGTAATATCAAGAAGATAGTACCGATTTAGTCCCTGGAGAATTATTTTCAAGGGGATATCTTCTCTGCCATCGTTTCTTATTTCAGATAGGGTTGTTGATGTTGGGGGTGGTGTTACCTTGGGGCTGCTGTTGAGTGTTGAAGTTTAATGCTCCTTTGCGGAGGATCACTTGTGCTGGTGGGCATCCCGGGGGCGGTTTTGCTCCGACCCCCGCATGCTCAACTTGAAAGAAAGGGCTGTAGCGCTGTTCAAGGGAGAATGATGCAAAAGACCTTTTGATGAGATTTCATAGTTGGAGTAAAAAAATTCACATTATAAGGTGAGGATATTTTATTTCACGGGCCAACCAAGAAGCCAGTATTTAATTAATATATACTTATATGATACTATCCCTCGTCGTACTTGTCTTACAAACGGGGTTTTATAATTAGAATCAAAAGCAGTATTATTTTTAGGGCATTTTTAGTATATTTTACATGGATTTTGTACTAACCATGTCTTGAAATATAGCTTCTTTTTAACTCACTCTATATTAAAAAACAATTTACATTAGAACAATTAGGCTAAAAAATTAATGATACAACTTCAAAAAGTATCATTTTTCACAGCTGTGTAATCTAGAATTCTACATTGCTTTTATATATTATTAAGAAGCTAATTTAAAGCTTTAAATGGAATTAACATGCTGAAATTTTAAATCGTCTCCATGATAATATGAAGCTAATTTACTAAATGATCTTCATAATTTTTTCAAGGGAAAAACAAGACTGGGCCCTCGATCGGAAAAAAGATGTAAATGGCTCAAAATGAGCGCGTCTGGGCATGCGGCATCTAGCTTTGCGCAGGTTTAATCGGGAGCAAGTATGGACCTATTTGAATTTGCCTGTGGGCTGCGTGGATTAACCCAAACTTTTCCTCATGAACATGTCTCCACACATAGGCCTCGTGCATTGTCGTTTCAGAGCCTCGTGAATTCTCGCTCCTTTTTAGATTGCGTTAGCAAAGTCACTTTATCTCTTATTTCATCCTGTTGCATGTTTTAGTTGTTTATAAAGAATTCTACTAGCGGTTCGATGAATTTTTTTCTTAAAGATGCCCCATACAACTTAATTATCGCAAGAATTTTCCCAACAACACGTGCTTTTAGATGTCGAGGCCTCTACTGCAGATTGACAAAGAGACAATAATTATGGGAAAAATCTAAATTTAAATTAGGGTTTATACTTTTTAATAAATCTCTAATTAGGACATGAGTCCTAATTTAATATTTTTAAATGTTATTAAATAACCAGAATGCCTCTCTTTAATTAAAATAAAAAATTGATTATTTTACTCCCCAAAATCATCTCTCACCTTTTATGATTATTTTTAGGACCAAAAAACACAAAAAAAAAACTTTTTAATGCTTGTATATATAATTAAAATCTTAAAAAATATTTTAATAAAACATTTTAAATTTTAACATAAATGACCTTAAAATAAATATTTTTTATTTTATGTTTGTAAATATTCATTTTACTATATTAAAATATTTTAATTACAAAAATATTTAATATTATGTTCTTAAAATGTACGTAGGTTTTATTTATTGAAGCAAATATTGAATTCCAACCCAAAAACGTAATTTGCAACCACTTAGTATAAAATATTTCTTGTAATTCAGATATTTCAAAATCTTAAAAATAAATATTTACAACCTAAAAATATAAAATATTTATTTAAAGGGTATTTTTGTTGTAATTTAAAATTTTTGACTAAAATATTTTAAAAATTTTTAGTTATATACACAAATTTTAAACATTATAAAATTATTTATGTGTTTTTTAGTCCTGGAAAATAATCATAAGAGAAAAGAGGAACCATTTGGGAGGGATAAAACAATCAATTTTTCTTTTTAATTAAAGAGGGGTATTATGGTTATTTAACAACATTCATAAATTCCTAATAAAACCTCATGACCTAATTAAAATTTGTTAAAAGTGCATGTCTCAATTAAGATTAAGGTATTTTAGTTGAATTTAACTGGAATTCTCGCATAATTATATGCGTTGTTTTAGCCCAAAGTCTTCTTATTTAGCTTTATAATGAATTGTTGGATTTTTCATCTAATTTGAAAAATACTCCTCCGACCCTTAATATAAGACCATTTAACTAATTTGATTAGATTAAGGAAGTTAGGTAAGTTGGTTAATTATAAGAAAAGTAACACATTTTTTCTAAAACACCATAATTATTTTTCTTAATACCCTCTCTCTCTTTTACTTGATTATGGTTGAGAGAGTATCTATAGGGATAATTTAGATAAAATTGATAAATATGAAAAATGTGTCTTATATTTATGACCAAAACCAACTCAATAATTGAGTCCTATATTAAGGACCAAAGAGTATTACACCAATTGAAAATTTAAATTTTAATTGTTTCTTAAAATATTTTTAAAGGAGAATTGTCCTTTAACCTCGGCAGAATTATTCAATTAGCTATCAACATTTGTTAAACATCAGTATAGGGTGACAACATTAATTTTAAGACTTTCAAAAGAAAATTGCACTAATTAATACTCCTCCTATTTTTAACCTAAGACATATTTAGCTAATTTAATTAGATTAAAAAAGTTAAGTAAGTTAGTTAATTATAATAAATATGATTTTTTTAAACAGTATAATCATCTTTTTTAATATCATTACTCTCACTCCTACTTAATTATAGTTAAAAAAGTATCTATATAAATAATCTAAAAAAATTAATAAATATAAAAAATAAGTAGTACATTTAAAATTAAAATCAATAATCATATTAAGTACCGAAGGACTAGTTAAGTATTTTTTTTTGGACTCAAAGGACTAGTTAAGTATACTAATTACCCCCGAGGTTAAAATTTTAAGATAGATTTACTTGGCCGTCGTACCGTTACCGGTAGCAAAGATGCTCTTTTACTTACTTATTTCATAAATTTCATAAATGCCTTGTTCCAGCAAGTCATCATACTTCTAGTCTTTTTGCGCTCTGTTCTTTTTGACCATTGTCAGTTGTAATAATATATTAAAAAAAAAAAAACCGACTGTTTGGTTTGTGATCGTTCTGTTGAACAACGCATTGGGCAGAAGAACCGGCGATAAATTCCGTAGATTATAATTACTCAGTTATCAATGACAATGCGGCATTTTCCTCCATTTCCTCTCGATCTTTATGCTTCGGTGGGCATCCTCTTTTTGTTTTGTTCTGCTCTTTCGTTAAACGAGGGAGCCAAGTGCGTGACTTTAGTCCGGCTAGTGGGTTGCACATTAAGCTCCTAAAATAAGATTACTGGTCACTGCACTCCCCGGAGCTCGTTTGGAATCTTAGGGGTGCTTTGTCCGGTTTTGCGAGGGCGTCCTCACGCTTTCTCTACGCCGCATTCCCTGCTTTGAACCGAATTGCTGGTTGGAGAGAATGGGTTGTGCGACCTCAAAGAAGCTGAGCGAAGAAGACGACGTTGTGTCCTTCTGCAGAGAAAGGAAATGCCTCATCAAGTTGGCCCTAGAGCGTAGGTTTGCATTCGCAGAGGCATACTCGAAGTATAATCAATCTCTCTATTCCGTCGCATTGGCCTTAAGGTTGTTTGTAGCTAGACATTCATCGCCGCCTTCTCCATTTCTCATCACCTATCCTTCCACTTTCACCTCTGAAACTGCAGCTCTCATTGACAACCCCGTTTTTCTTCAGCATAAACCATCTGAACCCCACCAAGGAGGAACTCCAGAAGGCAAAGAATCTAAAGACCAAAAAAATTTCGAGGAAGAAGATGAAGAGTTCAGTGACGAAGAGGAACCCTTGTGTGAGCATTTTTATGGTGATGTGAGTGCACCCTTGCCATCCTCAAGGAGAAGTTATCAGTGGGATTTTTTCAATCTGTTTGATGTGGGAGGGTTAACTCAGAACACATATGAAGATAGTGTAAGAGTGGGATGTGGAACAAGAGTTGTGGATGAGATTAAGGCGCCTAGAAGCAGGGATGATTCCAAATTGGAAGCATGTGGGAGCGAAGATTTGAGGCGGATTAATGGAGAAAAAGACGGGAGGCAACTGTTGGAAGCATTGAAGGATGTAGAGGACCATTTTATCAAGGCTTACAACTCCGGTAAGACTGTCTCAAGGATGCTTGAGGCTAATAGAGTCCCTTTGCTATCTGGCCTGGACGATATCAAAGGTGAGTTATATCTTTTCTTGCTATTATCGTAGGCGTTCTGCGTTTGCATGATTGGGCCGATTGAATGGCCATGAAAATTTATGTGTAGTAAAATTTTCCTTATATAATTGTTTACTTATTTTTAAAAAACCCCACTCTTGTTTGATCACGCAGTAATAAGTTTGACCATCGTTGCACATATCTTTTGCTCTTTACTTGCATGTTTATTGCCAAGATGAAAAGTTTATCAAAATATTCGTTTCGTACTTGATGCAGAGAGCTCGAAGAAACTGATTCGATCAATAACATGGAACCGATCCAATTCATTGCATTCTTCCTCCAGTAAGAGTCTGCTGATTTCAGGTTCGCAAGTTTCTTCCTCATGGACGGAACTTAGTATTGATTCGTATGATGAATGTGGGGGAATGGGGTCAGGTAGCCACTCATCCACGATAGAAAGGTTATATGCTTGGGAGAAGAAACTCTATGAGGAGGTTAAGGTATGTAGAATATGTAAAGATTGGAATTGGACTTCTCAATTTTTTCTTTTCAAAATCCTCTCTTCTCTAGTAATTGTGCACGAATGACAAGCAGTAGCCGCAAATTATAAAAGCACAGCCTTGGCTGTCTGATGTCTCCGTGTAGATATTATGTTCATAGCATTAGTTAGTCAACAGTGTTCTGTAGAAATACATCGATATACTGGTCATGCTCCCGTATATTTGTAGGCCAAAAGGATTTGATCCATATTCCACTTAAAGAAAGCTGAATGGTATTTTGAAAATGAATTAAACCATATGTTTGATCATAGTAGAATGTAAATATAAACAGCGAGTGTAAGAGGCATCTGTACTAGCAATGGCAGCAAGTGTGGTAGCCATTTAACTTCCGTTTGAATAAAATATAAATTCTGCTTCTTAAAGGAAAATAACTTATATTAAGTATTGAAGTTTGATCCTCTTCTTCCCATGTTCAGGCTGGAAAGGAAATCCGAGAAATATTTGAGAGGAAATGCTCTCGATTTAGAAATAAAAAACTCGAAAAGGTAGCCTCAATCATGAGGATAAAGCTACTGCTGAAGTATTAGAATTACATGCCAGGCTACTGGTTTCAGTTCAAACTGCTGAATCGATTTCAAGGAGAATCCTAAAACTGAAAAATGAAGAATTGTTGCCACAACTTGTCGAGCTGTTAAATGGGTAAGTCTCGAATTTCTACAAAAAAAATCTTGAGTCCTAAATTTTCACCTGTCATGACCCCATATCTTTCACCTATGCAGCCTTATGAGACACTGGAAGATGATGTTGGAATCACATGAAACCCAATACCAAATATTGAATCAAGTGAGGTTATTTAACTGTCCTGCTTATGGAAAATTTTGCAATGGCTCACATCGCTTAGCCACAATTGAGCTCGAGGCAGAACTGCAAACCTGGCGTACTTGCTTTGCCGCCATTGTTTCTGCAGAGAAGGCATATATTGAGGCTCTTCATGGATGGCTATCTAAGTTCACAATCAGTGAAGTTGATGAAATCTACTCTTGGGGAATATACTCAACTCCGCCATATAAGATAAATAGGCTACCAATACTTGTAATCCTTCATGACTGGTTGGCTTGGCTGGAGAAAACGCCTGAAAAGAAAGTTACCTATGCAATCAAAAGCTTTGGCAAAGAGGTGCAGTCTCTCTGGGTTCAACAAGGGAAGGAGCTGAGACAGAAGAGGAGAGTTGATGAACTTGCCAAGGAAGTTGATAGAAGGGGCATTGCTCTTCAGAGGGAGGAATGCAAAATTCTTGGACCAGAGCAATCTGTGCAGGGTTCAGAGGTAAATATGCGTACTCCGGTTCAATATTTGTTAAAACAGAGAGAGCTTTTGGAGATACATAGGAAGAAGCTAGATGCCGGGAAGGCAAAGCACCGAGCTAGTATGCTAGAGACACAGCATATTACTTTAAAGGCTTTTCAGAGCGAGTTCTGTAGTGTTTTATCGTCATTAGCTGAGTTTTCAAAGGCTTCTATTAAAGTGTATGCAAGCCTTGTGACTTACAGCGAAAATGCGAAGACGCTTTAAGAAGAAAATGGTAGTTAATTAACTCTGTGACAAAAGATGTGCAGTCGAAGCTTCAGCTGAAGCCACCAGTTTTGCTAGACTTCAGACTTTTTAGCACTTCTGTATGCTTCAGTATGCTCAAAATGGAGATACTTTATGGAGTGCAAACTTTAGATAAAGCAAAGGTTCTCTTACGGCGTAGGAGTTACAAGTCGAGCAAAGTTCCCTGCCAGCAATCAAGCACGTATATTTTAATGAATTGATAGTAATTTTCGCCCATTATCAAAATTACGTTATCACGTAAGGAGTTGAAATTATGATGCTTTTTTAAACGTCAGACCAACCAAGGATTATCAAAATAGAGAGACGTACAATTATGATTTGAAACAAACGTGCAAAATTTAAGGTTCATTAATTTTGAGATAGTTGTTTGTAAAGTGCCTCCAGTCCGGGTCAATTTATTTTCCTGCTTTCGCAACTTATTTTGTTGTCTTTTTTTTAAAAAAAAAATTGTGTATGTAATTGTGATTGATATACAATTAAATGATAGCACAACGAATGATCATTGTTATTAAAAGGTATTTGGATAAAAACCAAACTATAGTTTTAAAAATATTTTTACAGTTTACGAAGTAAATATATAGAGGAGTTCGTCTCGTTTTGCAAAAAAATCCTTCTTAGAAACACTTTTAAGGGTTGCCAAAGACCCAGGCACAAAATTCATTGAAGCTACTGCCTTTTGTGTAGCCTTATCTTCTTGAATTCTCCTCAAAGTATTGACATCAGTGTTAATGCTAATACTATTATTTTCTAGGCATCTTAAGTTTGTGCTTTGAAAGGATAAACTATCCATATCAATATGAAACTTTCGAAATTCAGCACCATTTATGCTCACAGAACTCTTTGAATAGTCATCGTTTTCTATAGATTTGAAAGCCCCTGACTCTGCTGATTCTTGAGATGTGCTACTTGATTTTCTGAAATTCTTTGAAGATAGTTTGCCAGCCAAGTGATCAGCTCCATAAAGAGCTTCTTCTAGATCTCGATACACTTGAGTCATTGTAGACCGATATTTTGGTACTTGAGCCCCACATCTGAGAGCAAGCTGACCCATCTTCAACATAACCTTCATATTGCAAGGCTCACATAGCAAATTGACATCTATAATTTCTTCAATATTACCCTTCTCTAAGCTAGGCCTTGCCTGCATCAACCATATTTATTATATTGGTATAGATCTAAGGAAAAGGGCCACCATCATAGATGTGAAAATCCGAAACCCCTTTAATCAAAACATATAGCGAAAAAGAATGAAATTATATATGATTAAATAAAGATTTGCACGACTTACCCAATCAATAATGTGAGAAATATTTTGATCTTTTTTGGTATCAACGGCCGGTCTAGCAGAAATAAGCTGGAGAAGCATGACACCGAAACTATAAACGTCACTGAAAGTGGTCAAATGAAAGGTTGAACAATAAGTGGGATCAAGGTATCCTGGGGTTCCTTTGATCTGGCTGCTAACATAAGATTGATCACTAGTTGGTCCTGATTTTGTCAACCCAAAATCTGAAACTTTAGCCTCAAACCCTTCGCCTAGTAAGATGTTGCTCGGTTTGATGTCACGATGAATTATATTTGGTGTCACCCCTTCATGCAAATAAGCTATACCTGTAAAATATCCCGAATTTCTACATCAGGAAATTTCTTGCTAATTAACAGTGAATTTTTTTTGGATGAAAAAGAAAGAAATAAATAAAATGAATGTACCTTTAGCTGCTCCTGTTGCTACGTTTACTCTTTGCCTCCAAGTTAAGCTCTTCCCTCTATTTCCTATGATTCCAAAATGTCATATTCGAAATGGTATTGAAGCTTTTCTCAGCAAGTATTCATGTTTTCATCCTCGTCTCTTTCCTTACACTTGAATTATAAATGGACTTTACGTAGAGACAAATATAATACTGATTCATCGAATTGATCAAACTGACGTACTTACCCATCATGCATTCGAGCAGAGAACCATTAGGCACATACTCATAAACCAGCATTTGGACCCATCTCCTGCTTTTGGAAATACGACCACATTACCATGACAAGCTCTGCTCTGTAAAGATCATTTACTGGCAAATTCCATAAAGTATACTGTATATACTCTGTTATCACTTTTCAATTAACAAAAAAATTACCAGGTTCTTCACAATATCCCACCAAACTAACAAGATTCCTGTGCTTTACTTTCGAAATGAGGCTCACTTCTGCTACAAGGAAAAAGACAAGCATGAAATATTAGTACTGGTTTAATTTAGGTGGAGTTGTGGATATATCATTATCGAATTCGAATCTGACCTTTTCTGAACTCTTCCTTGGCTAGGAATGATTCACCGTGAGCTCTTTTAATGGCCAACGTTCCTTCTGATTCGAAGGTTCCTTTATACACCGTTCCAAGCGCACCAGAACCCAGCAAGCAATCTGAGCTAAAATTGTTTGTAGCCTTCGCTAGTGCCTCCAAATCAAAACACCTTAACGATATATTATCATATTTCAAACTCTTATCATCTATTGCACCTGCAACATTCAGTGCCTTCAATTCTATACTTGGATCTGAAAATTTCTGCTTCCAAATTCCGTTCATTGTGCCTTTAGCTCACCTTTCGAACCCCTTTTGCATTTAAGTAGTCTCTTGAAGAGGCAGTACAACAATGAAACTACCATTACCGTTAAAATGCCTGAAACAAGCCATACCAACACAGTTTGGAAGCAACTGCTTTTGGGATGGAATGGCTTTGCCATTTCCTGCGATGGAGCAGCCAATAAACAGCGGTGCTGATCACCCATTGCAATCTAATTACGGCAGCATACGCTGTCCTCTGCTGCTTATGTTTCTATGATCAGTTACATTTTTGAATTGTAAATCCATTGTGTCCCGGAAAGGCAAGTCTTGGCTTACTTGGTCTTGTCTTCGGACGGCATATAAGCCAAACTGCCAAAGATCTCTACCACCTGGTAGTGAGAGCATCGAACTAATTAATCAGTAATGTATTCTCTACGAAGCATGAATAGAGTTGCCAGTAGAGGATATTTTATTTCCAGCCTTCTGGATAAGCAGTTAAGCATCGCCCCGGTTATGATATTTAATGCAATTGACCCAGTAAGCTTTTTTTCTCTTCTTCGTTAAGTACATCGAGCTCATCTGTCCAGTGAACGTCTTAACATGGCAATCTGATCATGCCCTCTAGGCTTTAGTGTTTGTTTTGGCCTACAACTTGACAGCAACATGCCAATGATTTTTCAATTATTTCTTTTAATGACCCATATGATTTATCAATATGCAGCTCAGAAAATAAAGACACCAATATGTTAGGGGCATCATTTGCCTGGTTAGCCCAGGGATTGCTGCGTAGACAAATTTCTGAGTAATTTAAGACTCTGAGTCTTTTAAGTTGTGAGCATCTGGGAATCTTGACCTTTGGTGCCTGCATTTATTTCTGTATACATCTTGTCTATTTCTAGCGGGCAATATTAATATAACCTTTGGCCATGAGTGAGGAAATTTCTCAGATTTTGGACATTAGCATTTACAGTCCCTTACCAAGTGAATATCATTTTGGTTTAAACGGCACCGATCAGTGGGGTATCGGTCAGTTTGATGGAACTTAATAGAACGTGCCGGCTCCACCATTATTTCTGTTTCTTTAACATGCATGTCCAATTAATATAATAATTGAACTTGAGCAGAGAAAGAAACTAAAGGCTCCTCAAAAAGCCAAAGGACCACCAAAGTATATTTGCTTTGAAATTTTCAATTTGATTTATTCAACCCCCAGATTTGGACTTGTTCCTTCAAATCTATGCTATCTGCTCTAATGCCAGGAAAAATGTGTGAAAGGAGTATTAACAAGACAGCTAAGGAGGTCCGTGGACTTCCATTTGAGTCAGGATAGGTAAGTTTCTCATTAAATGCTCATGAGTCCTAAAATTTAAACCACAGGTAACTGTTGGGTTTAGCTTCAGCGCTCACATGTGAACATAATCACATGAACATGACCACTTTTGGCGAAAAGTAAGTGGCCACTAAAAAATGAAGAATAAGACCTATAGAAGGAAAATCAGAACATTTGTATGGAATCTATGAAATTACAATATACTCATAAATATCAACCTGGATTGTGATTTTATGAGCCCATGGCTTCGTGCAGAGTAATGGATCAAAACAACGTATTTTCATGAGTGCTATTCCAGCATAAAATGTTCACAGATTTCGCCGGGTTATTGTGGCTCGCGGCTGAGAATCTCACAGCTTTGGATTTTGACATGCTCAACCCACCGTACTTGCGAATATGAAAAAGGCGGCAGGTTTCACTTTGATTAATCAAAAGAATAATAACTTTTTTAAAGAAATTTTTTTTTTAAGAAAATAAGTATTAGATGAATTGAAAAAAATCATATTTTTAATGAGTCGTGAATGTGCTAAGAAAACTTGTTTCATGTGACTACGTATTCCACTATGCTGCTATATAAACCCATAGACAAGGGGCGAAAGAGATGGGCTTATGTGAATTTTAAAAAGGCCCATTAGTTGAGGGGTTATGAAGGAGGTGTAAATGTGGCAGACTGACTGCAAATGCTGCGTGCTGCCCTCCCCCACTACCACATTATCTCGTGTCAGAAAGATAGGTGGGAGCAATATAAGCAAGGGACTAAAAACATCTTAAACATTAAATGAATAGGATGTTTGATAGAAAATCAAATTATAATTTTAAAAATAATTTTATGATATACAAAATAAATATATAGAAAAAGTTTTATCTCAATTTTACGTTTAACGGTAGTTTTTGTGAAGAAATCAAAAAAGAGATAATATACCATCAGTTGGGGCTGGGCTGTGGACAAGGACTGCTTTTAATTCCATTCGGGGGAAGTTTAAATGCCAATTTACGTTCCCTCAAGTACGTATCTTTAATATGGCAGGTGAAGTTCAGGCCAAAAAAAAAACATATGGCAGGTGAAGAGATAGATCACGCCATCAGTCACTCCGCCCGTCCCGATATTTACAGTTTCGCTCCGCCTAAGTACGTGTCCCCTCCGAATTTCTTATCATCAACTTCAGATTTCATCATGTGCCTGCATTAGTATCAACCTCGCTTTTATTAATCTTGAACGAAACGAATTCAACGTTAACTCCACGTTTATTTGAGACCGGGATCGGTTCTGGTCACAACTTTTTATTACGGAATAAATCTAAACTTTTAAGGTCGCAGAACGAGTATTGCCCCTAGCCCATTCCCGGCTTTTCAGCATTTGAAGGGGGCAAATGAGCCGTCAAAGATATTTGACTAAACCAAGGAGCATCTGATGATGGAATTTTCCTGCCTTTTATGGTTTTCGTCCCGGGCGGGTATAAGCACCAGCGGCTGTCTTTAATGGATTTGACTGGGAAATCAAAATTATTGAGACCGTTGTCTGAATGTCAGAGACACTTGCTGATTCTCCGGATTCCATTTTCTCTAGACTTTATCTCCCATTTCTTTCCTTATCTGCATCATCACACGGCCGTTCGACTTGCACACGTTCCCGTTTTTACAATTAGAATGAATGAATCGTTTCGCAGAATCAAATCAAATTTTGAAGAAGGAAACCAAACTTGGACGAGGGATGGCTTCATTTTACAATTTTACCTAGTATTCAACCATATGTGATTACCAACCCCTTAAAACAGGTATCATCGACCACGTGAACATCACCTCGTTTCTGATATTTGTATCAGACCGGGACAGATCACAAGGACTTGTTACCGCAGGAAGACATCCAATCAGAACCGTGAATAGGAGAGTGAGTGGATCTTTTGAGTGAATTTCATATAACTCTTTCTCATCTTTATCCCTCTCATTAATTGAGTCTAGAAGATGTATCCGTACACGATATTGACAGAAGCAAAAAAGATAAGAACTTCATTCGTTTATTGAGAAATCCTATAGTAAAATAACACCTATGTAAAGTCATCAGTGAAGGAGGCCAGCGAAGAGAAGGAGCCAAAACTATTTAATATATCAAAATTTTCTTTACACTAATTTAGTACAATGATACGCTCATGGGATGCTCCCTGGAACCCAATACAAGTCCTAGAAGTGAAAGACTGTATAAACAATAAAAGAACTTTTTTGTACTATGGACATACAAAATTACAGATCCCTTCTGCATAACGGACATGAACCGTGCCTGAAGAGCCACTTATCGATGCATGGTAGGTGGAACATGTGATGGCAATGAGGCAAACTTCTAACCGTCTCTCCAGGCTGAAAGTCCTGAACATGTACAAATTCCCAATGTCAATTCCCAAAATGGATACTATTTTCTTTAGATACAGATATGCATATATTCACACTATATAGAAACCACCCCCTCCTGGTATTTTATGGATAAAAGGGCAACGTCATAGTAACCACAGGCATTAACCAATAAACACTGCAGCAATACAAACCTGGAGGCAGACTGAACAAGAAACTCTTTCACCCGAAGCATCAATAATATTATCATTTGTGATTGTGATCTTCGGGATCTTCTCAACACAATCCCCAGTTAAGCCCTTGCAACCACCAGTGTCAAAGATGTTTTGAACCTCCTCAAAGTTTGCTTCAACAGCACCCATCTGACATTTAAGAGCAGAGATATAATGAGCAATCTTCTCGATGAGAGTTCGTATCCAAATATATGTCTCATTAATTGGACAAAAAATGCTAACCTGACTTTGGACAGCACTTAACATGGCAGGGCCAATTCTCTCACGCACAAGTCTCCCACTCAATAGGCTAGCAATGACATCAATCTGCATAATTCAGAAAGTAATAATGACAATCAAATCTCAGGAGGCCGCTACTTTTTCAGCTGCATGTGTAAACTTAAAGCAGCGAAAGTTTTGAGGGTCATCTGCTTAGTAGTTACTCACCAGATATAAGAGGCACCCAATCCCAGATTCATCAGATTGCCAAAGAACAAGAGAAGATTCAAATACTTCAATGGAGAAAACAGCTCCGGAAATGGCACCAACTGCTGCTCCTCTAATGAAGCCACTCTCGGTCTCTTGGCCTATCAAAGCTCCTGTCATGGCACCCAATAACGTTCCCACTGCCGACAAACAAGCCATTATCGTATTAGCCTTTAACGAATTTCAACAGAGGCACATCTCGCAGCAAAAGCTAAACGTTGGGAATTGAACAGGGTGAACAAAGATTTTGAAAGTTTTTCTTTTTTGGTTGCTGTGAGAACAGATAAAAACAAAGATGAACATATGACATACAATCCGACAAACAAACGGCACACACAGAATTCATTTTTCACCGAAAGAAAAGTGCTTGTCTGTCTTCACTGAAAACACCAAAAATTATGCTCTGCGAATTCAACGATCGTTGGACATATCAACACACAATGACAAATTCGACGTAAATGTAAAAAGACCAAAAACAATTCTAGGGTGAACCCATCAAGCGCAAATGAACCTTAGCTTGAAATGTCAGAGGCAAGTAAGAATGTAATCGGAAGGGAGAGAGTGATCTACCAACCTAAGGCAAAGCAAAATGTCAAGATCGCAGAGAGGATGTTTCCAATTATAACAGAAACCGCGAGACTGCTTATGCGTCTAACCCTCTCAACGACGCTCCCGAAGGAGCCCAACGCGGAAGAAGGCAAAGGAAAAGGATTCGCCACAAAATCCATCAGGGTAGCCAAGAAATTTTAGGAATTGGGAACTCAGCTCTTCCAAGTTGCAGGAATCGAAAAAACAGAGTGGGTATGGTTCAGGGTAGGATCGATCTTGGAAGCAGGAGATTTGGGTTTAAGGATGAGTTATATATTATGAGTAATTATTATATAGAAAGGAAAGATGCGCTCCACAATGCTTAGTCCGTAAGAGTAGATCGAAAGAAACCACCATCAACCAACTCGCATTTAAAGCTTGTGCTGCTTAAGGTGAGCCTCTCTTTCTCTCTCCTCTCAGCGGGGACAAAAAATTGTTTTGGGATTCATTTTCTTCAAAAGAGAAAAAATCGCACAGTCTCTGGGTGTCCCTGTCACAGGCACGAGACACGGCGACGAAGAAGAGTAAGAAGTTTCTTTTGAAAAATAGGCGTGAGTCTCAGCCCCTCAGGTTTGTGCTTGAACAACCATCCACGAACTTTCATTTTTGATTTTTCCATCACTCGTCTCATTTTTCTGGTTGGCCAAACGGCGTCAAGTTAAGCCCCCTCTGAATAATATAAATACTAAAAAAAATCATGTCTCACATAAGAAGATTGAGATATGTAGTTGTATGCTTGTATTTTTACGACTATTATTAATTTTTTTTAATCTAAAGATACAAAAAATGTTTCGTATTTATAAATCATTTTTTATTCTGATTTTCTTTTTCTTCTATTCTGTTATGTGCTGCCATATGAGACTTGAGAAAAAGATCTTTTACACGACTGTTGCTTTCGAGAGATTTGGCCGCATATGTCATGCTAGCTGTACGATCTAGAGAATTCATGCGGGGCAAATTGAAGTCGGTGTAATATTCTTATTTATTATTTCTCTTATCTTAAATATAAAAACAAAGAAAGAGTACTTTTAAAAGTAGCCATATCTATTATTTGCGTTATTTTTGGGAATTCAAATGCTCCATCGTCCATATACTGAATGAGAGAGTAAATTGTTGTGCAGATTTAACTTTATTTGAAGAATATATCCAGAGTTGAGTCCAAAAAATGTTCTCATGTGCCCCCAAAAAAAAAATAAAACTGGGTCAATTTCTTTATCTTCTCCCACTCTTATTTATTTAAAAACCGGAGATCCATAACAACCCAAGCTAAGTTTATACAAGCAGAGGAAATTAGTGAGTTTTGAAAAAATAAATAAGGAGGGGGGAGGAGGAATAGTTTTACTCTACTTTCTCATACCTACTGATGACCAAGCCTCATTAATATGAATTTAAATTATATCATGGGCTGTCTACTCACTGGTATGAGAATATCAGAATATGTTTCGAAGCATAACATGATTAACTTAATCACATGTCACTAATTCTGGTAACTAAACAGGTAATTGGCTTTTCTTGCGACTGTAAAATTTCATTAACCCATGCATTCCCTGACCTGACCACTTCCCTGCGTAGTAGTGCAGGTCCGGCCTCCACTGACTTATCTAAACTATGTTAATCTTTTGATTTTATTTATAAATCTCGCATCTTGCCGGAGTAGATTTGAACCTGCCCCAAAATATTAGGTTCAGAGTGCAACATATCGGGTTTTGGTGCGTTTTAATTTTAATGTATTTGTCAATACTTGTCATGTTAAACCTCCTCAGGGAAAGCTTCAAAATGCGTTCACCTCACGCGGCTATCCATCTATGATCCATGTATGTGGATATGAGTGTCATAATGGAGGCGCCAAAATATCTTTTTTAGGGTTTCAAGCCTGGGTTGGTGGGCTGCGTTTAGACTTCCGGGCATCCCCATCCCCATCCACATCCCCAATACTATAATAACTATACATGTTCCCCACGCCGCACTAAAATATCTACCTGCTTCTGCGTTCCCCACACTAAATATCCCACCCTTTTTCAATATCACCTTTTTATTTCACTGCTCACTTTTCGCCCATGTTTTAGCCCTTGCCCACTTAAATTTCATGCTGTCTCTTTCGTCCGCTGTCCCTGCTTCAATGTTGATGGGGCAAAAATGTCCACAGGGCTCTAGTTTATATTCATGCAAATGCCATTTAGTATTTTTAAAAAAGTTAATCCCCTACAACATGGTAAATTAATGTTTGAATATCTGGTAGGAGAGATATCCAAATTAAATATTTGTCAGTGTCTCAAATAAGACTGCTTCCAGGAGAATACTCGTACTTGCTAAAACAAAAAAATATTCATGCTCTTCTCAATTCATAATTATATTCATTATTAGTCATAAGCATTCATCTGAATGAATGACGATTTAAAATTTTAAAATTCGTTTCTAGTTTAAGTATACATTACAGCAATTTACATCTACACCCCGCCCAAGCAGAATTTAAATTTGAAATCAATTGTTTGCGTTTCTTTCTGATTATCTAAGACTTGAAAAACAAAGAACAAATGGAAAGGAAACATCACTCGCGAAAAATAATGCCCATATATAACTCAGGTGCACACGCACGCACGCACACAACGTTTTTAATTAAAGACTTATAGTATTTGTTTTTTTTAAAGCTCTGTAGAGGAGAATACATTAAATCTGAACTGAAAAAAAAAGAAGCCAATTTAAATTATAATTGAATTTGTGACCATTGTTGTCATTTACCAAGCCGGCAATCAAAATCCAAGGGGCACTGTCTCGAAATGGAATCAAGTATCGATCAGAACAGAGGAGCAAGGAAGGTGTAAGGTCGATTTCTGTAAAAGCCAATGCCCCTTAGCTTAGGTAATGTGTTTTGAAGTAACACAGCTCCAGATTTTGCCATATCTTAATCTTAGATTAGAATTTGGCTATGATTTAGAAAACTTCAACAACGATTATCTTCTTTCTTCTACACCAAAATTAAACCTGATACATATACGTGTGTACGTAATACAATTATATGCTGATGTCTTAGTCCGAGAGAAAATTTTATTTTCGGACGCAAATGCTGAATTTGGATAACAATTACCCAAAAAAAATCAAAGAAGAATTAAAGTCTGGCGTCAGATAAATCCCAGCACTTTCTTCTGTATCCTAATTGGTGGTTAAGCTAAACGATTACCCAAAATATTTAATTAATTATTAGATTCTGTGCGTGATACTTTGTCAACTTAAAATGCATTAAATTTCTGGCATCTACATGCTGAGTTGAACATTTCGGATGATTGATTTATCCAGTTTCTTGAGCCTTCGTGAAACTTCAAGCTGACAAGTACCACCACACAAGTCTCCATTCTGATAAGCAAGTTTCAAGGGCAAGTTGCAGGGAGTTGTTTCGAGACAATTTTTTTTAATAGTCACGATTCACGACGTGATCTTTTAAAAAAATATTTTGATCTTAATTTGTTCCGAGGAGTAAAATTGTACAGTCGAGTCTTCGAATGGTCTGGAAGCGCCCGCTTAATACCAGGAAGTAACTTCGAAACACAACCCCCAAGTCACGCAGAGTTAAAATAAATACGAGCATATTTGGGTTCAAGAAGTGAGCATTCTCTCCTCATTTAGACGCACACCGTTTTATTTGCCCTGGACTCGGGTTTTCTACGCCAAAATCATTACAAACTATGAGCATGGGGGAAAATAGCTAATTAATTTTCTTATACATATTAGGCGTCTACATTCTGTGTCTAGAATACAAAAATAATAATGCTTATAAATTCTTGGGACGCGCGCATTTATGTGTGGAAGGCGAAGGTGACGGGCATGGGCATCATCGGAGAATGGAGTTGGTGTGGAGGTAGGGGAACGGAAAGCATGGCAATGTTGGGTGCGAAATCTTGGAGGGATCTATGCGCGCACCAATTTCCATTTTTATTATTGTTGTTAATTATTACTCCCTCCATCTTTTATAAGATACAAATAATTAAATTACACGGCTGACAAAAAATTAATTAAATTGCATAGATAAAAAATTGATTAAAATTAATTGAAAACAATTAATTATATAAAATTGCAACTTATTTTTTTATAGATGTCTTTATTAATAGAAAAGGTGAGTGAGGAAGAAATAAGTTCTGAAAAAATGAAACAGAATGAACTGAAAAAAATATGAATAGGAGAGAATGTAATTAAATTAGTATAAAAATGCATTAAATATTTAGTCATTTTTAAAATATAGTTTATGAAAAAAAAACCATTTACAAAAGTTGTAACTTTATAAAAAAAAAATAAAAATCATGAGATGTCCTTGGGTATATAGGTGTGTGGTCTATGTATGTGCTCGCCGGCACCGCTGCATGGAGGGTGCGGGTTAACGATGGGGGAGGGACACCCTATTCCTGTGGCTTTATTTGCACCTTGATTTTGTTTAATGGAAAGCATACATGTGATAGCATGAACAAGATCATGAGAGAAGGTTGGAAGTATATTTAATCGTTAATTTTATACAAAGCTTTAATTTGACTCATTGACTCTAAGAAAATACATATTGGTTTATTGACTCTAAATTATTAAGCTTACATAATGATTTTTCTTGTAACAATTATGATTATTTTAAAAATTAAGTTTAATATGTTAACATTTAATAATATTTTACCCAGTATTTAAGATTAATATTATTATTTTTTGTTAATAATTTTAAGATTAAATAATTAAAAAATATTTTTGAAAGTTAAAAAACTAAGTTAAAATCTTATATTTTTTTTTAGCTGAAAATTGAAGCCTTACATGAAGTTTATCCTATATATATTTGCCTTTCTCGCGTTGATTCGACTGTTTTGTGTTCCGCTCACGTAACCCCGGGGGGGGGGGGGTTCATCTGATCGACGTGAGTGTGGATTTCTACAACAAAAACAACGGCCGGCCATCCCCTAGCCGTGCTGATTAAGCACGGCTGCATCACTTTGAGCTCATCTATGGGCATGGAAACCCATTCTTCCTTCCTTCCTTCCGTTCTTTTTAATTTATGAAACAATTATAATTTTCGGCATATTTTATTTTAGTTTTAGAATTTTTTTTTCTGTACTTGACATTTTTTTTAATCTTTTTATAACGTTTATAATAAACTGCCTGATGCATGAACGGGTCTAAAGTCAACAGGTAAATTTATCTCCCAAACAACACCAGGGTCTTGAAGATAAATATATTATTCGGTCTTCATATTAATTTACACCTTAAGATGGATTGGAAACAACATATATTCTTTGAAATAAATTTTAAAAAACATACAAAGAAACTAAGAAAGAGGAATGCCGTGGTGTTGTTTGGAAAATAAATATACTATTCGGTCTACGCATTGGCACGACATGTATCACTAAGAAAAAAATCAGAAATTTGGGGAATGCCATGCCTCCTACTAAGCCCACCACGTCCAACTCCATCTGCCTTTCTTCTCTTGGTATAAAAAAGATCTTTTTAGCTTGTTTAGTACGAGGAAATGGAAGGGAAGGAAGAAGAGAAAAAAATCTTAAAAAGCTCGATCTAAAAAAATAAAGAAGTGGTGTTAAAATTTTTTTATTATTTTTAATTATTTTTTATCTTATAATTTTCTTCTATTAAAATTTTAAAACCCAACTCCTTCAATTTTTCATGTTCAGTTCATTAAAATTTTTTCTCTCCTTCCCTTTTCTTCATTTCTCTCATGTTAAATGGACCGTTAGAGGTTTCCTAGAATAAAGACTAAAAGCTTTCATCGCTACATGGGGGCAAGCCTATTGTGCGTGGCTCTTTTAGGATCCGCTTGATGCCAAAAAAAAAAAGAGAAGAGGAAAAAAATTTTTAATGAGCCTGGTTTAAAAAATAAAAAAGTAAGGTTAAAATGCCAAAAAAAAAAAAGAGAAGAGGAAAAAAATTTTTAATGAGCCTGGTTTAAAAAATAAAAAAAGTAAGGTTAAAAGCTTTTAATTAATTTATTATATTTTTTATCTTACATCTTTTCATTATTAAAATTTTAAAATACTATTTCTTTATTTTTTAATTGAACTCATTACAAATTTCTGCCCCTCCTCTCTTTCTTGTTTTTCTCATGCTAAACATGGGGCTAAAAAAAACCATCAGAGAAGAGATAGACCTTACCTAAGTCAAAGGCTATGCAAAAAAAAAAATTGTATGCGTAGAACTTAGGCGTAGTTTACACATACGAATCAAACACTATATTATAATCAATGCCATTGCAAATCATTCTACATTTGCTGCTGGCATACTGTATTGATCTCATGGCCTCTTTCATTTTTATCAAGATGCTGTGCATTTCAAATCTAAACCAACTGCATTGCATCTGAATGAATAATACGCTGCTACTTGTACAAGTCGGTAGTTGCGACAGATCAAGTTATAAAAACAAGGCGGGATGAGAAATCGTACATTCGTATTCTTGGTTTTAAAAAAGAAAAATGTACTGCTGTGATAAGCGACGACAGAATTATTATTCACAGTGCAGCTTCTCTGTCAATTAAATATATATTGACATATATCATTATTCTTATTAATTTAATTGTATTTTTCCTGCAAAAATTTAAATTGCATGGAAATAAAGCCCTGGTCATCAAATAGGTTCTCCGGGGATCTGTTCTCAATCTAATCCATAAAAACGTTTCTCTTGGCCAACAATTTAATCGATAAACTAAATAATATAATTTACCTCATTTTTCAGCTACTGAGCCATTTACCTAGTAATTGGTCAGTTGGCTCCCAAAAAAAGAAAAAAGACTATTAAAAGCGAACATTGCATGTATTCGAAATTCCTAGTGAGAACTATTTGAACTCATGTTTATTGGTGTGATTCTCTCGCACTTTTTCCTTGTTTTTCTCTGAGCATGCTTGACCACTTTTTTTTTTTTTAAAAGTATAACCATTCTCTTATTAAAAATAATCTTATTTAAGATATTATCGGCTATTAAATATTTGATCGCTTCTAGTTTTACGCACAGTATTCAAATGAAGATCCAAGCCCAGCAATGTTCTGGCAGATGAATATTCAAAAAGGGCGTGCGGGGGCCCGATTAGGGTTGTATGGGAATATAGGCCCACTCCTTCTTCTCTTTCCTCGTCTGAAAAGTGCTTCTCCTAGGCCCTCTCGTCTCTTGACATGTCAACCAGCTTTGCAATCATTCCCAATTCATGGTATTATTCAAAGTGATTTCAAACCATGACATTCTTTAAAAAATTTAGGGATAATTAATTCACAGCTCCTTATGTTTTAACTAATTTTGAATCAGGTCCTTATAGTTTTTTTTCCTTTTTATCAGGTCCTTATACTTTCACCTGTTTTTAATTAGGTCTTTGTATTTATTTTGCTTTTTATCAAGTCCTTATAAATTCACCTTATTTTAATTAAGTCCCTGAATTTTTTATTCTTTATTTTATGAATTCTAATAGTACTATTATATAAACATAAAATAGTATATATTATTTAATATTAGTTATAAACAATAATATTCTAAAGATATTGAATTATTATAATGATTTTAATTTTTTCAGCAAAAAAAGTAATTGTTCTATAAAAATTTTCCTGAATTAATTAATTCTATTACTTTTTTATTACATAATTATTAATTTAATTTAATTATTAATATTTTATATTTCAGTATTAATCTATTTAATTAAGCTTATATTTAATAATAAATAAAAATTAAAACTACATGGATCTAATTAAAAATTTAGTGAAATGATAAGGATTTAATTAAAAGAAAATAAATACAAGGACCTAATTAAAAAAAGGTAAAAGTATAAGGACCTGATGATAAAAAAGAAAAAAAATATAGGGATCTGATTCAAAATTCGTTGAAACTATAAGGACTTGCGGATTAATAACCCAAAAATTTATGTAATTTAAATATTCTTAATCAAGGATGTGAACTATCCCCATCATCAACATCGAATACCATAGTTCACTTTTTTATATAATTTTGCCGACATCCTAAAATTCTATAACTCTGGTACTTATTTTTTTAATTAGTGATTTAATACCTAAATTTGACTTGAAACAAAACAAATTTATAATTTCTCAACTCAGAACATGTCAATTCTTATAATTTTTTTTACACAAATATATTAACTTTATAAACCGAATTTTAAAGATTTCAATAATTGAAAGAAAATTTATGATCTGAAAGTTATATGTTTCCTTTTCCTACCTGTAGAGGAAATAGAACAGAGTAAAGTTTTTTAACGCGATTTTAAAAACTGATGATTAATAATGAAACTAAAATGAACTTCCAGTGTACCGCATGTGAAAGAAGAAATACATGTTTGTTAATACATTACATTTGGAGCTGCTGGCCAAAAAATACATTACACATTGGCCCAGAATTGAAGGGCTAAATTTGTTGCAGTTGAAAGGGGGGATGAATGGGCGCTGCCTTCATACATCGAACCATTTACGTTGACTTAACGTCGCCATGACATGGCCCCATGTCGGATCGCCATCTCCAACAGCCATGGCCCCATGTCGGATCGCCATCTCCAACAGCCAGCCATTGGATCGCATTGCACCGTTTCATTTTTTAATATAAACACAATAAATCTAAGGAACGTGGTGTCCACGGATCCTCCTTCCGCAAACGCCGTTTTCCACCATACACCCCCCCCTCTCTCTCTCTCTCTCGCATTATATCACCTACTACTGCATTTCATTTACTTTTTCTCCGTCTTTTTTCCTTTCACTGAAGCCGGCCGGTCACAGATCTTCTTCGTCGCAGCTAATCACTGCTATGGGTAATTTGTTCATCGCACTTCACATTCAATCTTTCTGCGAGATCATCGACAATATATAACTTTCAGCTGCTTTTCTGCTATTTTACACTCTGAGCTCTTTGATCAATTGCAGCATCTAGAAATCCTTTCGACAACATATTGAAAACTCTCGAGAAGTCCGGAGGCGGTCATTTTGGCAAGTACTATAGTTTGCCGGCTCTCAACGATCCTAGGATCGGTAAGCGATTTCTTTATGTCCTGACTTTATGGTTGCTCATGAAAATGTTGGAAGATGGATAGAAGAAACGGTTTCGTCTTACGTTGATTTTGTGCCTTTACTTGCTTGGATATAAATGTTGTCTTATTTGGGTTGAAATCTGGATTCAGCTTATTGGTTGTTTACTTGTTTGTATTTATGTGAATTCGTTGGAGTTTTTCCCCCTCCTTATTTGAATTTATGCTGGCATCGCAGATAGGCTTCCTTACTCGATTAGGATACTTCTGGAATCCGCGATTCGTAACTGCGATGAGTTTCAAGTTAAGAGAAATGATGTTGAAAAGATTATTGATTGGGAGAATACCTCTCCTAAACTGGTAGAAATTCCTTTCAAGCCTGCGAGAGTGCTTCTGCAGGTGAGGGGCTTGCAAACACAATCAATCTTTTTTCGTCAGTGTATCCGAAATATAATGCCTGGTATTATATGAGCTTTGGATATAATTTTCAGGATTTTACTGGGGTGCCTGCTGTTGTTGATCTCGCTTGCATGCGAGATGCAATGAACAAACTAGGTGGTGATTCTAATAAAATTAATCCCTTGGTGAGCCCCATGCTGATAAACATTTGTGAGTGTGGTTTATGTTTATTTATGGTTGTGTATGTGCAACTTTTGAATTTGCTTGTACGCAGGTTCCAGTAGATCTTGTCATAGATCACTCAGTTCAGGTTGATGTGGCAAGATCAGAAAATGCTGTGCAGGCAAACATGGAACTTGAATTCAAGAGGAATAAGGAAAGATTTGGTTTCCTCAAATGGGGTTCAAAGGCATTCAATAACATGCTTGTTGTTCCTCCTGGATCAGGGATAGTTCACCAGGTATTCGAATCACTCAAGAAGCTCAGATATTTGAAATGATCTTTATTTCATGTGCAAAGTTATTTTTGGTCAGTTATACATATGCGGTTTTAGATTTCCTCTTTCTCTTCTAAATCAAATTCTGCAATACAAAATTTGCAGGTTAATTTAGAATATCTTGGCAGAGTTGTGTTTAATACAGGTGGTATGCTTTACCCTGATAGTGTAGTTGGGACCGACTCACATACAACTATGATAGATGGCTTGGGTGTTGCTGGGTGGGAGTTGGGGGAATTGAAGCAGAAGCTGCGATGCTTGGCCAGGTAGATAGAAATTCATAGTTTGTTAAAGAACAGTAGAATTTCATTCCGGCAGTAGGTTCATTTTGGTTTGAACTGTGTTATTGTATGTTTAATTTCTTCTTTCAATGGTAAGTTCTTCTTACATATATCTAATTACCTCTTTCTTATGAATGCAGCCAATGAGCATGGTCCTGCCTGGTGTGGTTGGGTTTAAATTGTTAGGCAAACTAAGAGATGGTGTGACAGCCACTGACTTGGTATTGACAGTTACACAAATGCTAAGAAAGCATGGGGTTGTTGGCAAGTTCGTTGAGTTCTATGGTAAAGACTATTTGATGCAATCACGCAATAATATTCTTCTAGTTTTACATTTATTCTGTATTACTGCCTGCTTAGCATTTAGTAATACCTTCCGTGTTGGTCTTTTCACCTCACTTATGCAGGGGAAGGCATGAGTGAACTGTCTTTGGCAGATCGTGCCACCATTGCAAACATGTCTCCTGAGTATGGTGCAACAATGGGCTTCTTTCCTGTAGATCATGTCACTTTACATTACTTGAAACTGACTGGCAGAAGTGATGAGACTGTAAGTAAACACTCGCATCATAACATGCTATGTTGTATACATTTGCTTACATGTGTTTCTTGCAGGTTTCTATGATAGAGTCATATTTACGAGCTAATAAGATGTTTGTGGACTACAGTGAGGTATGCTAAGGATATATTAGTTTGATATCATTACTTGTGTATGCCGTATATATGTATAAAAAGGGTTTGACTGAAAAATTTGTGCTTATGCTCAGCCCCAGACTGAGAGAGTCTACTCGTCATATCTAGAGCTCAATCTTGAGAATGTGGAGCCCTGTGTATCAGGTCCAAAGAGGTAGTTTTCCGTCAGGCCTCCATATAAAAAGAATGAAGTATTATGTGTCCAGATTTTTCCAGGTGTGATTGTCATCACCAAATATTTGCAGGCCCCATGATCGAGTCACTTTGAAAGAAATGAAGGCAGATTGGCATGCCTGCCTTGACAATAAAGTTGGGTTTAAGGTATGAGCTTTCTGAAATATGGATAAGTTTTTATTTGTTCTCTGCCCCTCTTTATTTCTTTCTTTTGGGATATTACATAGATATTGTTTTGTAAAATTGCATGAACTATACTCTCAAAATCATTGTTATGAACAACCAAGATGGTGTATGATTAAGATTGAAGACAAGAAGTGTGATTTGTTGCCAAAGAAATAATGATGAACTCATCTGTGACTTGTTGGGGGTTGGGAATGGGACAGGTTTTGTGCCGGTGATAGTCGTGTGTTTAAAAATGTTGTTCAATTTGGGAAGCAACAGGGTAGCTGTTTTATTTTTATTCTGACTGAATATGAGGTAACTGGGGTTAGTTTCAGAATTTATGACTAGTTAATTCTTACAGCTATTCTTTATTTCCTGTATATAATCCTTAAATTTTCTATGAATAATTACCTGGGAATTTTAATCATAGCATCTTGCCTCTGTGTGAGTTTTTCTTTTCCATTTTTTTTTGGCACATGGTGGCATGGATGTCTAAACCTGTAGCTCCCACAATACAAGCTACCCAAGCTTATCACCACTGGATATCATGTAGTGGCTTCTCTTGGTCTCTTTTTTTGTATGCTCCTGCATCTGATTTAATTATTTACTTTTTCTGCCTGTGATGAAAAATGATGTCTCTGCATCTCTCTCTGTGCATATTAACTCATCCAAATTTCTCATTTTCTTTGAATGGTAATCTTGCCATGCTGCTATTCGTTATATTCTTATTGTGGTTCTATGGTTTAATCATCTGTATTACTAGTTGCCCATTGTTTGAGCTGTGTAGTATTGCACTGTTTGCAGGGTTTTGCTGTACCAAAGGAATCTCAGAATAAGGTTGCAGGCTTCAATTTCCACGGGGAAACAGCACAGCTTAGGCATGGAGATGTTGTTATTGCTGCGATCACCAGCTGTACAAATACCTCAAATCCCAGTGTAATGCTTGGAGCTGCACTGGTTGCAAAGAAAGCTTGCGAATTAGGATTGCAGGTTTGTTGTCTCTGAACTTTGTACGACATCAATATGCTTTAACATATATCAATATCTACGACATCAATATGCTTTAACATATTATTTGAAATATCCAACTAGCAGATTCGCCCCTTGAGATACTGTGAGGTCAACAAGCACCGTTACAACGTCACTTTTTTGTGCTTTCATGCAATACCTGATTAGGTTTTCTTTTGGGGATTATATAACCAAGCAGTTCGATACATATATAATAGATTAAATCTGTGATGATCACTTCACATTATTGTTTCCCTTTTTGACCAGTAATTGATTGCAGTACTTGTATGGTTGTGAAATTTTAGGTTAAACCGTGGATTAAGACCAGTCTTGCTCCGGGTTCTGGTGTTGTGACAAAGTATTTGCAAAAGAGGTATTATTAAGGATACAATGCGGTGTACAAACCTGCTGCACTGAGTCATACAGATTCAGATGACTTGTGTATCTTGATTCTTGCAGTGGCCTACAGAAGTATTTGAATCAGCTTGGGTTTCATATTGTTGGGTATGGATGTACCACCTGCATTGGTAATTCAGGGGATATTGATGAAGCTGTTGCATCTGCTATTACTGAAAATGGTATGAATTTTCTTCTTGGTGGGTCTTTGTCTGGTTGAGGAATCTTTGGGATGCCTAAGGCGTTGAATTTGCAATTTTCCAGATATAGTAGCTGCAGCTGTATTGTCTGGAAATAGAAATTTCGAGGGCCGAGTTCATCCATTAACAAGGGCTAATTACCTTGCTTCTCCCCCTCTTGTTGTTGCCTATGCCCTTGCTGGCACGGTACGTGGCTTGCAACTGAGAGCACACTGTAAAACTTGATCATGTTCTCTAATTTGAACATACTTCTGCAGGTGGACATTGACTTTGACACCGAACCCATTGGGTTGGGTAATGAGGGAAAGAAGATCTTCTTCAAGGATATTTGGCCTACCAGTGAAGAAATAGCAGATGTGAGGGTCATAATGGGTTTAACTATGACCTTACCATATAAACCAAATGATTGCATCGTTATTTATTTATTGTTTTGTTTTCAGGTTGTACAATCAAGTGTGCTTCCTGACATGTTTAGGGCTACATATGATGCAATCACCCAAGGAAATCCCATGTGGAATCAGTTATCTGTACCTTCTGGCACTCTCTATGCATGGGACCATTCCTCAACTTATATTCATGAACCTCCTTATTTTAAAGATATGAGCATGTCTCCCCCAGGTCCTCATGGAGTAAAGGATGCTTACTGTTTACTCAACTGTGGAGACAGCATTACAACTGACCACATCTCCCCTGCCGGGAGCATCCACAAGGATAGTCCCGCAGCCAGATACCTCATGGAACGTGGGGTTGATAGACGAGATTTCAACTCCTATGGAAGTCGTCGTGGCAATGATGAGGTGATGGCACGGGGCACTTTTGCTAATATTCGCCTTGTTAACAAATTATTGAATGGAGAAGTTGGCCCGAAAACTATTCATATTCCTTCTGGGGAGAAGCTATCCGTTTTTGATGCTGCAATGGTAATACTTCTGAACTCTTACACCATGTAGATTACCGGCCTCTGATCTCTAGTTCCAACGAGACCATCCCCATTAAGAATAATGATGTTATGGTATCACTGATGTCTGGTGGGTGAAATATATTTGGTAGGTAGAGAATACATAAATCATTAGAGTTGATGATTGGATTCATTGAAAGAATATATCTAGGCTTCACAGAGGATGATAACATCACAACAATAGGTGGTGGCAACGGTAAAATATGACTGCAAAATGGTTTGAAACAACTTTGACCAGTATCTGCAGTCATATAAGATTGTTGTAGTTGATTCAGGAGTTTGATACAGCTTCTTGTTTGTTATGTGATTGACCGATTGTCACTTGTCAGATTGAGCCCATTGTAATTGCTGAGTTGTCCACAGAAATCATATTTTACTGTCCGTTTAATCCAAGATATGTATCGTTGAATTGTTTCAAGTTTCTTTCCCTCACAAAATTTGAGTAAATTTATTGCTGCTATTTTTGTGACCTTTCAAAAAAAAAAATATATTGTCAGAAATACAAGAGCGAGGGGCATGAGACAATCGTTTTGGCTGGGACTGAGTATGGCAGCGGAAGTTCTCGTGATTGGGCTGCAAAGGGACCATTGTTATTGGTATATCCAGGATGCTATTCTGCTCTGACCAATTTCTCTGTTGTTTTGTTTCTTTCCCCGATGGTTCAATTAACTTTTGTCTTGCCCAGGGCGTGAAAGCTGTCATAGCGAAAAGCTTTGAGAGGATTCACCGAAGTAATTTGGTGGGAATGGGTGTCATTCCGCTATGCTTTAAGGCTGGGGAAGATGCCGAGACTCTGGGGTTGACTGGCCACGAACGTTACACCATTAATCTTCCTAGCAGAGTGGATGAAATACGACCTGGTCAAGACGTCACAGTCTTGACTGATAACGGGAAGTCATTTACATGTACCCTGAGATTTGATACAGAGGTAAAACTGATTTTTTCTTTTAAAAAAAAAAATTTAGGAAGGTTTCTCTATTATTCTTCTAATGGCTAAACCCCTGCTCCTTGACATTCCCCGCCTTCGTGCTGATGTATTGATTACTTTCGCAGGTTGAGCTGGCTTACTTTAACCATGGAGGCATCTTACAATATGTGATCAGGAACTTGATAAGTGCTAGACAATAAATGTGGCAAATCAAGTACGCAGGCCAATTCGCTATCATCTCATTCTAGTTTTGACAATGGGCTGAATATCCTGCACGATACCATGAATAGTGCCTGCAATATTGCATTGAAAACCAATGGAATTGTATCAAATAAGTGAAGGCATTGGATTTCTACGGTGAGTAGTTGTAATGCCTGTATCCTGTTACAGAAACGATATTCATGTCTCTTCCATCTGTCTTGAATGCCTATTTTTCCGAAGAAGACATCTTCCTCTTTTGGATTTTAGTTACTGGCAAGTATTTACTTGACTTGATCAAGAAAAAAAAAAAAAAGTAGGGGAAGTCACTATAAGAATTCAAGAAAAAAAATATGATTACCAAAAAAATTTTAGTGACAAGTGACTAGCTTGAAATTTATTATTATTTTCTGTATTGAAACTTGTCATTTTCTAGTTATATGATTTTTTTTTTCCGCCATTACATTCTTTCTCTGAGATTACACTGATTTTTCCTAAAAAAATATCACAGTCTTCACGTAGCTATGCGTATAGGATCATGTAAAACTTTTGTTACTAATAGCTCTTTTTTTCACCTTGTTTAGTAATAGCTGGGAAATTGTAACATTACTGGTACGAAGCATTATCATGATATCTGGCGCATAACATGAACCTCCTTAAATCCGTTTACAAGACAAACCCTGAGCCAATTGTTGAGGAGGGGTCATCATGAATTATTTCATTGTATTGGGAGCTAATTTCTTTCTCGTTTTTTTTTTTGTTTTGGGTGTGGTGATAAGCTAATTTCTTTCTTTCTTGTTTAATCTGAGCGCATTGTGTTTGGGAGCCGTTCGTGCACATTAATGCCGCAGAGCAATCTACTTTGTATTCCACATAATATTAGTGGGATAATAACATATTGACCAACTTTAAATAGTTTAAAAAATTAAAAGGTTAATATAATTTTTAGTTCTTAAAATTTGAATTTATTTTAGTTTTGGTTTCTCAAATTTAAAACTTAGTTTTAGCCCTTAAAATATAATCCATTTTAAAACGTTAATTCCTTTAGGTTTAATAGTATTAAAATCTGCTGAATTTTCATAAACGATATTAAAGTGGTAATCTAAACTTAATAGATAGCACCTAATTAAATATTACGTAGATAATTAAAAAAAATAAAGACCAAGTTCTCAAATCGTTGTTTAATGTTTTTCCCCCCTTTTTGCTATTCACTACTCTGTATTGGTTCACTACATTGTGTTGAAGTTATTCACTACGCTGTATTTTAAAATATCATACCCCTTATCTACATAACATTCATTTATGCATCATCTAGTAAGTCTATATAACTACTTAAACATCATATATTAATACTGTTAAATTTTTAATTTGAGGGGCCAAAATCAAAATAGGCCCAAATTTTAAAAGACAAAAATTATATTAACCCAAAATTGAATTAAAATTAGTTACTGCTTTTAAAATTTCAAAAATATTCTCAAGAAATTTATTAATTAAAGGTTATTTAATTAGAAGACTGTGTGGCTAATTAGGAAATATTAAAGCAAAGGGCATTTAGGGAAAAAAATTAATACTCTAGACAAATTAATACCTCAGACTAGGAAATTCATACCAATTACCAAGGACCAGAGAAGGAAGTCCTTTGTAATGAAGGCCTTGAGTTTTTATGGAAACAACGCACATCCATCCTAAACTTTGCCCCGGCAGTGCGGACACTGGAAACGAAACGAGTAAATGGGCAATGGAGAAGACGTTAGAAGTAGAATTTCTAGCAAGGATGCCTTTCGGGAAAAGCTCGCATTACTAGTTTCACCTAGTCGTTTCATACTTTTTCTTCAGCCTCCCTAACGGTTGAAATTATAAATCTGTGCATCAGTTATTAATCGTACAAGCAAAAGGGCTACGGGAAAAATGAGCAACGGTAAACATCGAGAAATAACAGAATGCCGCATCAATTCCTCAACATTTACCACAAGACCCGGCGCATACGCATAACTGCACGGGCGTCTAGCTCAACTTTTCGATCACTCAATCGGCACATTCATCAAATCCTGCGAAAAAATCAGTGAACGTGAGACGCGAATCGAAACAACTTGTATGCTACATTTGTTGAATATCAAAAGCTATGAACGATGTTTGTCAAATCAGGATTGCAAGTACGCTGTAAATACAGTTCTGGAAACCATGCAAAGTGTGGAGCAATAAATATTATCCGTTCCAATTCAAGCAATGATGATCGTAAATTAGAATTGAACATTTGGCCCAACAATTTGACCTGCCTCTTACGCATAACAATATTTGGGGCAAAATTTATCCACCCTAAGGCTCACTAAAACCGACCAGTTCCAGCACTTCATACACATGATAGAGCCAGAGAAATTATAATCATCCCTTATCACAAGAAAATTTCGCACCGAATGTAGTATACGCATTTCTTTTAAATTATACAAAACTGTTACTGACAATCTAGCAGCAAAGTCAACAAATAAACATAATATATTATCAAATGAATTCTGAAGTTTCTCAACTGTGAAATCATATTTTTTAACAGTTTTACGAGGAAGATGCCAAAATTACCTATAGGAATGTGTATTCAAATTTTGTGTTCACTGACACGCATCCACTTGGTGCATGACCATTTATTACCCTTAATCACGGGACAACCACCTGAAAAGCATCAATAAAACAAAGCATGTAAAATCATTTATCTATAGAAATAAATTTTCAAACAAATCAAAAAGCTCGATAACAAAAAGATGGTAGCTAACCATGCAAACTAGAGGGATCTAAAGTTGCATCAGGCTTCATGCTCCAGAAAAGTAGAGCGTCACCCATCTTGGGCTTAATTGAAAGTCCTTTTTTTCCACATTCAGAGAGATCATTCCACCATGGCACAGAGCTAAAGTTGCCCTTGGCAGCTGGGAACACTGTCTCACCCCCTTCTTCAACATCTGTGCTGTATCATTAAAATACAAAGAGGACACAGCATGATCACCTTTCCTCCCAGTCAGGATGAAATAGCGTCAAGAATTCTTACGGGGAGGGAATTTGATGCTACTTACAGATACATAAGTACTGTTGCTATACGCTGACCACCATTTTTAGTGTTAAACTCATCAAGAAAGTAGTCATAGTGCGGCTCATACTTTTGTCCGGCTTCATAGTGGAGAACCTGAAGTCCTTCGCCGTGCTCTGTATATTGTGAGACATTGCTTAGATAATAGTTGAGAAGTATATGATGCAATATGCTATTACTAGCTGAGAATCAAGGCAAAAAAGAACAGTTCAGTACTATTTTTATCACCGAAAAATCAACTTTAATATATCAGAGGAAAAAGTTGATATAAAAACTTCAACTAGACTGAACTGGCTTCTCAGAAATGAAGCGAAGCTACATCTAATGATGACACCTGTAGCTTAGATAATAACTTTGTAAGTGCAATTATTATTACTATGAATGAGCCATGACTTAATGATTATTACAACAATAACAATTGCATATAATTGTCAACGAGACACAATTTTTAGGTTAGGTACACTAGACCAGTTAGCGTCAACAAGGAATGCCATATTTTATCAACCAATAAAACATAAAATGGAGAGGCTCAAAATACTCACCTACAGGTATGAAAGTAAAATCAGCAATCCTTTTCTCGATATTCCTCACAATCTTATCACGTCCTCTGGGTAGAAAAGTTCCAGAACTTGTACGTACTCTGAATATTAAAGAACATGTAACATTGAGGTTTTCCAACCAAAAAGGGGCAACTATACGAGGGCAGTCAATAAAACAAAGGACATTGATTTCCAATATACAACTTTCAAACCAACGTATGTGTATATAGAAAAATCTGACCTGCTATCCTTACTCTTTCCAGTTTCGCTGTCAACAACTGTTGACTTCTGCATGCTAGGCTTGGCCAGATTAATTAGGTATTCACATTCCTCCTTTGTCTGCTCATAATAAAACCAACTTAAGTCACCTTCTAACTTTTCAAAAAAGAAAAAATGAAAAATAGTTTGGTGACAACACATTCCTAACGACAAAGATGGTGGTAGAGAGAGATTTTCATCAATAATAACTACAAATAATCAGAAGACTCTTACTTCAGAATCCGGATGAAAATTAGGTTGCCAAATTCTTTAAATCCATCCCTATGCATATTTTCATTCACCCAATCCTAGTTGCACTCAATTCTTATACAACAGTCAGTCACCCTATCAGGCGCACTCTTTCTATAGTTTTAAGCATGTTATATGATAAAGCAGTATTCCAAGCACGTGTTTTCATTCGTCATTTGCAACCTTCTACTTCTCTCTCATAGAGCTAAGCTGTATGTGAGTTGAACAGTTCTTTCATCGTTGGCCAATGTCATCCAATTTGAAGAAGTTCTATAAACCTGGTTATAGAATCAATACTGATTAATATCCATGGACCCTATGAAACTAGATTCCAGGCAGCACGAGCATAAGCTTGTTATTTTTCGTTTATTGTGTTTACAAAGTAATCTCTCAATTTGCAATTGATTTGAGAATTTGGATTTTCATGCTCCATCGATCTTCGAATGTAGATAGAGACTGAAGAATAGGAGGACTAGACGTAGACGCAATTCTTACTATCAAGTTCCTCGATTAAAATATGGAAGATGAATACATTTGAATTTAAAATATAACAAGTGTACAATCTGATTGGGACCACTCAACTACGCACAAATGACATATTATGCTGTCATCCTTTAAGAAGTAACTTGTCAAATGCTTATTTCCATGCAGAACTCATCCAAATGAGAAAGCAATTACAGAAATGAAAGATTAGAAGAGCAAGTCCACAAAACTCACCAAAAAATTATGATAAACAAAAGCTCTAGGCTCCCATGATATTAGTTCAACCCATTGCTCACTCCTCTCTTTGCCCTCTCTTCTGCTTAGGGGAAAAACAAAAATAGAAAAATTACCAAAACGAAAGGAAAAATCAGACGAATAATTAAAACAAAAACGAAACGAAAGCGACGTACTTATCAAGCGTGCTCCGAACAATGGAATTAAGATCGTTGGCCACGTGCGCATCACGACGGGAGCTACTGGGAAGAGAGAGGATCCCCAGGGATACAAGAAGGATGAGGAGGAAGGCGAACAGAAAAGTGAAGAAGAGGATGAGCGTGGAAGAAGAGGATTTGCGAGGAGTCAGGCGAGAGTGCCTGGGCTTTGCCATTGCGGAGATGGAATGATCGAATTCAGAATCCGATCTGAGGAAACAGAAAAACAGCGCAACAAGAGAAGTGGAAAGTTGGAATT